CGAAGAAAGTGTCGAGAGGTTGCCACACATTTGATTTCCCCGACCTTGGCTATTTCTTGGGGGGTAATTCCCCGTGCAATTTCCCGATTTCTTTTCCCTGGCCCGCTACACTTCCTTGACAATCCTGGGTATTTTTTCTCATTTTACTGTACAGCCCATATTGTGATAATGTAGCAACGTGGTGAGTTGGTATGCACCGAACATAGTGATAAGCAGCGCACAGGAGACAAAGAAGGCACAGTAGAAGAAAAACAGAGAACAAGCACTGGTTTCCTTCTACTGTGTCTTTGTCTCCCGTGTGCTGCATGTCACCATGTACATATTCCGATAAATCTGAAAGTTTGGTGCAGACAATGACAAGCCTTAATGACCTTGAGATGCCGTCGGTAACATTGTACACATTACTTTTGCATCTTGGTATTTCCTCTTTCTGGCTCTGCTATAGAGGCCCTACGTTTACCCTCGTTGAGGCCTCTGTTCGTGTAAGCTAGGTCTACGCCGGCACACCTCACACCCAAGCTATTTTTCTCGCATTTTGCTGGGTGGCTGTTTGTAGCAAAAACATGTGCACTTTTTCACTTGCTTGCAGATGGTTTGGGATATGAACGCACAGGGCAAAAGCAACTACAGGTGCATCTCTTTTAGCTTACAACATTTCATTTTCACCAAAGCACATCCACGGGAACTCGGCACAGATGTCAAAGGAGGGAAAGCGTGAGGGGAATGAATCAGCAGGAAAGGGGTTTCCTGCCAATCCCTTTCGTTCCTTCTCTCCTCGAACATCTGGGCTGAATTCCTATCAATGCACTTTCGTCATTATTGTCATTAGTTGAAAGAGAGACATGTTGTCCTGAGCATCCCGCATGTTTTCTTCATAACTTATGGCTACCGACATGCTCCACACTCAATTTAGCTTTCCGATAACTTGAGAGCATCTTTTCACCAGACATTTAGCAATGCACCAGGCTAGCTAGCAAACCACAAGGATGTCACTTTTAGCTAAAAAGGGCACTGACACATCAAAATCATATTTTTTTTTATTATCCCAAACGATTGAAAACGATGCCGGGACGTTACCCTCAAAATTTAAAATTTGGGAATTTAGTATTTGTGAAGTGAAAAAACTATTTCCAAATGCCGAATTCGAAATATTGCGGAGTCCTGAGCGTCCACTTTCTTTCACGACTCCCTGCTGTTGTCATGGCGACCCAAAGCGAGGAGGAAAGGAGCCAGCGCCGGCGGACTGGTTTTGAGCGGTATCGCCTGTTTTCCATGGGCGGATACAAATCAAGGAGACGGCACCACAACGAACTCCCAATTTTTGGTATTTCAAAAAGAAGGGCCGTAGTGCATTCGCAATTGCGTTAAAAAGCATGTTTTAGGATTAGGGATGTCGCGAACCACCCTAGGTTCGATTTCGAAAGGTTTCGATATTTGCGAAGCGAACTGAGGTTCGATTTCGAAAAATTTCGATATTTTCGTACCGACCGAGGTTCGATTTCGAAAAATTCGCAACTTTTGACCACAGCGGAGTTTCGAATTCGAAAATTTCGAAGCTTTCACGGTTTCTAAAATTTCGAATTCGAATATTTCGAATATTTTTTTACTTCAGGTTCGATAAATTCGAAGATTTCGAAATTCTTTGTAAAAAAAATTCGAAAACTTCGAACGCTTCGAATTTTTATAGACATGAAGTTCGAACAATTCGAAGATTTCGAATTTCTTTTTGCGAAAAGTTCGAAGGTTTCGATTTTCTTTTAACGCTAAATAAAAAAAAAAAAAAAAAAAAACTTCGAAGATTTTGAATTTTTTTCTAATCCATGTTTTCAAAGTTCGAAGTCCGATTTTCAAGTTTTTCCACAGTTTCAGTTTCAAATAATGTTTTCACGACTCACTGGTTTTCACAAAATCAAGTTTAGAAAAGTTAGGCTGTGATATCTAGATTCTGCGAAGTTGGTCAGGCAATGAAATGAGACGACGAGTGTCCCGGACGTGCTAGAATATTTGCCAGTGCAGAATTGTGACCGCCAGCCCCGGGGGGGGGTCTTTAACCTGCATCACGCAGTAGTGATTGCACGAACACACTGTTTTACGAGACTCATCCAGTTCGAAACGGCCAGGGGCGAGCAGGAGGTTGAGGCTCAGAAAAACCTTGAAGCGACCTGGCAAACTAGCTCGCCACTCCTTGCACGCTGGTAGTAATCCGATCCGGTGAAGTTTGTAATTGTCCTGGAGGTTTATTTTCTGGGACGGAGGAATCGCCTCGCAAAAAGCACAAAAGCCGACACAACTCGAGGTCGAGGAGCGTTCAACCATACAAGTGGCGTCGGAAGAGGAAAAACGGGGGGAAAGAGGGTAGCGGGGGGGGGGGGGAGGCTTTAGCCTCCTTCTCCCCCTTGCAGGTATTTCGGACTGTTAAAGAAAACAATACGGGGAAAGAGGGCGTGGTCGAGCTTATTTTAATCTGAATTGTTTTATGCATATGTGTAGCTACTGTCGCTCTTCACTGCATAAAAGGTTGCGTAGATGGTTCAGAAGGCACTGCTCGTCACATGCTTAGTGGTTCGGAAGTTCAAAGCTGTCTTTTCGACCTAAACACCTGTGCCAATAGTAAAAAAAAAAAAAAAAAAAATAAAAAAAAAAAAATAAATGCGGGAATAAAAAGCAGGAGAAAAAAAAAAAAACTATCAAGAATTCGTCGGAAGTGTTCTATTCTTGCATATTCAGAGGTTCAGAACTTCGAAACAAGTTTCTTTTATCAAAATGTGTACAGGCTAGAAGAAACACGTCCCAAAAACGTGAAGCGAAAAAAAAAAGTTTTCTTTTAATGACGTGCTGAACTTGAACACTATTAGAAATCTTCTCCCATGAGTTAATTTATTCCTTAACGTGAAAAAACAATAAATATATTATTTTGTATTCTGCAGATGGCAACGATATGTACTGTCTGTGGTGTTAATTTAAATGCGATACCTCAAACAACTTAGACGAAAATAAATATCAAGTTTAGGTCATAATTGCATGCAAATACATGTTTGGACATTTCTTCGAAACTCACGTTGAATAACAATAATCACATCTTAGGACGGCACTTACCTAGGCTATACATAGATCATTCTTAAAAAAAGTATAACATATCTACCATAAATAGCTCCGGCTGCAGCGTGCTTCAAATCTGGCACAAACGATAATCGTCAAAAACCCGTCGTCCTTCCTCGCCCCTTAGGGGATTTATTTCCTTAAACCTAAGCATGCCAGAATTGAAATAAACGACATTGTCTTTCGTAAGGAACGCAGCACCGCGTGTAAAAGTTCGAGAAAAAGAAATTACGAATGTACCCCACTACTTGAAATCAAATGAAACCGTCCGCCGGTCTTTCGAAGTTCGACGAACGTCAAACTTTTACCCTAAAAGTTGGAAGTTCGTCGAACTTCTGACTTCTCAGAAATCGAAAGTTCGAAACTTTTCGAATTCTCTTGATAAATAGGTTCGAAAGTTCGAAATTCATCGAATTTTTTGGTCAGTCAAGTTCGAAAGTTCGACAAGCATCAAACCTTGCAGCGCAATAAGTTCGAAAGTTCGAAAAAGATCGAATATTTTAGCGTAATAAGTTCGACGGTTCGAAAAGCGTCGAACTTCTTAGCTTAACAAGTTCGAAAATTCGACCTCCGTCGAATTTTACGATATAGACAATTCGAAAAATCAAAATCTTTCGAACCTTTCGAACCGCTTCATTCGATCATCGAAACTTCGATTCGAAAAAAGTTCGCGGCATCCCTATTTAGGATTGCCATTATTAAATGTTACAGAGATGTCGCTTACAAAGCTTCTAAATTTCATGATTCTTGACGTCACGAATCAAAAGAAGCGAGGAGGCGAGAGGCGGGAGATTCAAACGGCAAAAATAAAAAGGCGCGCGCGCGTGCGGGAAAATTTTTTTTTTTTGCAATGCGTTTTTTTTTGCGTGTTTATGACTGCAATTTGCATAGTTTTAGCCAATAAAAAAAATACGACCCTTGGGGTGTCAGAGCCCCTTAAAGAATTCGCTACCAATGACTAACTGCTTGTAAAGCGTCGTGTATTGCTGCTGTGCGTGGCGCACTCAGCTGCCTGTGTGTGCATTTATGCATGGTTATTGGCAACTTCATTGATTTTAACAAAAGGTAGAAGTACTATTACACTTTACAAAAGCCAAATGCCTGCAAGAACTACAATTGCAGGTGATGTCGAAATGCAAACGATTAGATAGACGCAAGTGCAATTGTTGCCCAGTGCTTTTAGCATAAACCATGCACTTAGATTCATTTAGCCAGGCAGGATTATTCCTCTTTATAGCTTATTGCTTATTGATTTCCTTATTGCTCAAGGTTTATGCCTTGAGCAATAAGCTCTGTGGCATAATTACCTATGGGGGAGGTGGAAAGATATTTGACAAAGGTAAAGTCTTGTGAAACAACAGTACAGTGGGATAGGGCAGGGTGAAACACAATGTGGTAAAAATAAAAAAAGTTTGGTTCACCGGTAATTGCGTACTTGAATGGCATTGACCATTCTCTGGAAAAATGCAACTTTCTCCCAGTCATTTTGGGAACAGCACCAACTGTTCTTGCTGCAGTGATATCGGACAAACCTGTAGAGTGCCCAACTCCATGAGGGCCGCCATTTGCATGAACACCATGCCGGCACCTTTTTTGCATTTTACTAGGCCTGCACAACTAAAGCTCCCAATCACATAGCATGGTGTCGCCCCAAGCCTCAACACTGTAATGAGAGACTTTCCCTTGCACAGTGAAAGCTAAGAATAATGCAACATTGTTCGATTCAAACCCCTTCATTTCACTAGTAGTACATGTTAGTCTCAAACATCAGCCTTTAGCACTTAAGTTTCTGACACACGGAAGAACATTTCAGCACAGTCGCGTTTCCGACGCCAGCCTTTCGGCTTCGTGAAAAAAGAGAAAAACTGCTAGTTTCGTCATGCTCCCTACGGGGTGCTCACATGGAATGTTGATGGCTTGGCCGATCTTCCCTGAGGACTTTATTTCCGAGGGCTCCCTGACATCAATGAGTTGAATGTCACCACCGTTGATGAGGGCTTCCAAGTCCTCGAAACTGATGTCCTGGAAATTGATGCTGCTGGTGGTCACGAGACGGAGTCCTAGATGGCAGCTTCCCCGGCCATTACCTGTGGAATAGGACGACTCTTATTTATGTCGAGATACCACCAATTTTAGTTTAAAGGGACACCGATTTCGAGATCTCCTTCTTATGATGTAGGCTCAACTGATGTGCCCTAAGCATCATAGAAAACTCAATATTAACATCAGGCATGGCTTTTTTCCCTTTCAGAATCTGAATAAACATTACCTTATGCCCCTTTTCTAAGATATACTGTAAATGACTTATTTATCGCGGGCTAAATATTTCGCAATTTAGGTCAACGCTGAAGTTTCGAAATAATTTGCGGGTTCTAATTTTCGCGACGCAGTGGAATCTCTATAGATAATTCTAAAATGTGTCGCACTTCAGGGACGCAATTACAAGTGTACGCGAAATTTCGCTCAAGCTGTCAAATCTTAATCTATGCAAACCGTAGGAAAGAAAGTAAGAAAGGGGGAAAAAAATAGTTTCTAGAAAGCAGAAGACACCAAGAATTAGAGTGTCTCGTAAATATGATTTCCATTTCAGTTTAATGAATTCATTTCGTGCAAAGAGGAGAGGAGAACCAGCGATATCCTTCAAGCCGTACCAACTACAACGATGAAACGAACAACACATTGTCCTCCGTGAAAAAGATACGAGGATCACCTGACGAGGCCGCCGCCGCCGTGAGCGGAACCTGAGAAAGCTCTCGCAAATGATCATGAAAGGAAAAGCGCGCTTCGCCTTTTGTATTTGTTTCCATCTCGACCCGGTCGGTCGGGCCGTTCGCCGTGGAGTACGATCCATGATCCAGGGATCCTCTTTAGATTTAACAGGTCGTTATCAAATGTCTGGATCACGCAGCGGCACCTCGTGCTACTGCGCGTATCTGTGACCTCCGCGCCCGGTGCGTATCCATTTGAACCGATCACTTACCTACGAGTGCAGACGCTGCATGGAACAGTCGGCATTCCGCGGAAAGCAGCGTCGGCAGAAGCCTCGAAGACGTCGTCGTGCAGCGTCTGGAGACAGTGCTAAGATCGGCTCGGGCGGTGAAAACACGCTGCCACAGCGGCCTCCATGTGCGCAGCACCGGTCCAACAGACATGTCGTTGCGACTGATGCAAATGCCGAAGCTTGCTTGCTTGTTGAGATGAACAAGTGAGAGCGAGAGCTACTCGTTCACTACACACAAATACACCTACAACGCGACGGCGCTGTTCAGCTGGTTCTGCGATACTGACGGCACGTCTAGTACGGCGGCACTTGTTGCTTTTTGCAACGTTTGGCCTTGGCTTGGCTCGGCTGGCTCGGCACTCTCCCAGCTCAACAGCTTGGCTTGTTTCGAGACAATGTAGTGCGTCAACCCGCCCAGAGGCTGTGAACCATAACTCTTTGCTGTGAACCTGCCTCCTGTTTAGGCGGCACTTGGCAGCATTTGCTGCCTAAAGCTGATTTAAACATGGTAACCCACGAGCGGGGGAAAAATGGGACAAAAAACACAAAGCTTTGTGTTTTTGAGCTTTATGTTGTCCGTCCGTTTTCGCCCCGTTTCTGGGTTATCATGTAGGCGTTTAACTTGTTGCGCGCTCTGGTGCTAGCAGCCTCAACAACGCGCACTGGTGCGACTGGCGCTGAACGGGGTTTATATTTTAAACATTAGATGGCGCTACCCGCACGAACACGGCACTTTCAGGTTAATTATTAACACCACAGACGCGGCGGCGGGACTGCTGTACCATATTAAATTACACTGTAGTCGGCGGTTGACCTCGGCGAGGAGGTGCGACCTCGGTCTGTTTTTAAATCTTCTGAATTTTAATCAAGGTCGACGGGGCCCTGCAGTGAAAGATGTTTCGCACGATTTGCACTCGAGTGTGTAGCGCGTCGTTCTAAATGAACACAGTCAACGATCGCAGTCTCCATTTACGCTGTGTAGGAGTGCAAAACAGTTTCGAAAAGGATGTAGATTAATATTCGCTTTCTCGCGCAGAGCAGAAAACAAATTGTTAGCAAAACAATTTGGAATTCCGCGTGGCGCTAGGCGCATGATGATACAAAGGTGCAAGCGAGCTGGACAAGAATGACGAAAATAGTCTCTGGCAAAGGGGGAGAGTGGACAAACACAAATCTCCGAACAAAAAGTTTGGGTGCAAACAAGCTGGTGAAACTTGTACTGTTTGAGCGTGTTGGTGCTTTTTAAACATTTAGAATAAAGTGAAGACACAAAGGGACGATACAGACAGGACAATTTTTCAACTTCAACAACCTTGGCTTGGTTGAAGTTGAAAGATTGTCCTATCTGTATCGTCCCTTTGTGTCTCCACTTTCTAAATGTTTAAAAAGCTGGTTAAGTTTTAACATTTTAGACAAAACCCCGAGACTGGAGAGGGAGGGGGGGAAGGACAACGCAACACAAAGTCTCAAACACAGCCAAAATTTATTAGAAAAAAAAAAAAAAAAAAAAAGGAAAAAGGGAGAGGAGGAATTTTTCCTTCCCGAACGCACAAGAGAGGGAGGCAATGTCCTCCCTCCCTCTCTTGTGCGTTCGGAAAAAAGAAGTTCCTCAATATTTGCTTCCTTTTGGTTTTCGGAGCACCTGTATTCTATAAAACCACGATATTCTGTCCAATAAATTTCAACTTTGTTTGAGACTGTGTGGTGTTGTCCCTTTCCCCCACTCCAGTCTCGGGTTTTGTCGAAAATGCAAATCTCCAACACAGCTAGGTGACTGGTCGCTCAGCAGTCACCCAGCTGTGTTTGGAGATTTGTGTTTAATAATTCTGTCCGGGAATTATTTTTGTCATTCTTGTCCAGCTCGTCGCTTGCAGCCTTGCATTATCATAACCTCAAAATGCAGGCCGTTACCCTTGTTGGTGAGACTAGTGGAAGAAAATCTGTTTGCTCTACTGACGTATAACTCCTGGTTAGCTCAGTTGGTAGAGCGCTCCGTTGGTAATGAAGATCCCTGGTTCGATAACAGGACCAGGCAGATTTTTTTCGGTCATGCACCAGTCACCTAGCTAGGCACATCAGTTTTTAGCATGAAGGGCTTTGATACAAAGTGGAGGAAGGGAACGAGAAAACTCTGGTCGACATTTTTGGACAATGGACCATTTTAGAAAGTCGCCGGTTCAGGAGGTTCTGGTATGAAAATATGTGAACAATGTGCGGATTAGGACGGCGAGAGAAAGAGCGTCCTAGAGCTAACTTGGGGGCAAAAAGATAAGCCACGATAGGGACCATATCTTGCACGTGATAGACACAAAAGAGACTTTGGAGGAGCCAACGCCTCCTGCATACTCTATGCCTGCCAGAAGCCGTCGTGTTAACCAATTCCTCATCTTCTTCTAACGCCCTTGTGCACCGCGAGACGGCGCTGACTACGTAGGGATGTTCTAAAAAGCCGATTGAAAAGAGGGCCCATCTCCAACCATGGGGAGCGTTTGCAATTAAAGTGGCAGACGCCTCCCGTGGAGATTGGTCGCAAGTATGCATGTGCTGCGCCTTGTGTGGTGGGGAGGAAAGGCGGAGACGTTTGCAGACAATCAACCTATAAACCACGTGACCCCGAACGAGCAGTTAGAAACTTCTGTAATACAGGATCTTTAGAGCATGAGCAGACGAAACATTGTGCACAAAGCCTTGGTGTTAGCCTCCCGAGAGCCTGTATTACAGAGAGTTTCAAATTGCTCGATCATGGTCACGTGGTTTATGGGCCGCATTTGCCATACAAGCTGCGAGGTGATGAAGGCGTTGATCGTCTGCAAGCGCCTCCACCTCTCCTCCTGCTTTCCTTCTCCCCATGCGACAGCACAGCGCATGCGCACTTGCGACCGATTGCCGCAGGAGGAGTCCGCCATCAAATAGCGAACGCTCTCCATGGTTTGAGATGGACCGTCTCTTCGATCTAGGCTCTCTATTCTGCCCCAACGAAGGTGGTGCCCTCACACTGAAACAACGGCGGCGGCACGCAACACCTTGGACGGCGGCCCTCATTGTGCTTTCCTCCGTCCGACATGCACAGAGTATACGGGGGCATTGAGAGAGCCCAATCTGCATCTTGCTTTCGTGGTCGAAGGAGCCAAATTAGTTTCAAAACACGCCTCTACGAGGCTCCACCAGCCCTGGATGGAGTGATCTAAAATCTGCAGTATTCATGCAAAAATCCAATAACAGTATCAAATTTTCAGTTAGCTCTGTAATGCGACAATACTGGACCCGATTTTAAGCTTTTTACCTCGCCTCCGCCCTTCAGTCCTGGAACAGAAACATGTCGTGGTAGAGATCACTCGCGTCCACACTGTATCGACCCGAGAATAAAATACAAACTAAACCTTAAAACAGCAGCCGATCCGAGCCTCTTGGCGAAATGTTGGCTGCTGGTCCGAGGTTTGCATAAAGCACACTCAAGTACTTGCATCCAGCCTCGCTGTAGAGTAAAAAAGAAAGTGCAGAGGACGAGAAGAGGAAAACAAGACAAGTGCTTGTCCTCGTTTTTCGCAATATATTTTTATTCTAGTGTTCAACAACCAGCCCATCAGATGATTTTGATGCCTTTTCATCCATTCCATGTCGATATGCGTGCTTGAGGTTTGTTCTAAAGAGCTCTCCTTGTACACCGAAAAAATTGAACAAAATTACTGGGTATAAAACTATCTTTATTATTAGCTAATCACAAAAACAGGTTTTCATGGTACCGGATATTTCCCAAACTATAGTCTGATTAGAAATTGTCCTCAATAAATATTAACGAGATGTCTCATCGAGCCTAAAATAGGCACTTTCCTAGCTGTCTGACTGTATAGCTAGTAAATAGGTCACTCTGTGTAGTATTGCGTAGCTCCGAGCCCAAAAGCAGGCAGGCCGGTGTACCGGAAACACCAGAGCCAGAAGTATGACTGATCGCGGTAGAAGCGTGGAGGACACTTTGCAGCTGTATGACCCGAATGAATGGCACTATTCCCAGGAGCTGTTAGCTCGAGCTTGATGCTTAAAATCATTGTTGCCAGTTATCGGAAGCTTTATCCGAAGTTGTGGGAAATGCTTTTCCGGCCTCCAGAAATGTTGGAACAGTCTGCGACAGAGCAAAACAATATCGCCCAAACTTGCCAACACAATATTTACCTCCATACTGCTCACAGATTAGTAGAGAAGCAGCCCCAGAGAAAAAGAAGAGAGTACTATAAACAAATCACAGCTGAGGAACGACAACCTGTACACATACAACTACTCTTTGTCTCCAAAAACTTCACCCCACACATCACAGAAATAAAATGTCCAAAAGTTTCAACCTCACCTTAAGGCATATTCGACTGGTAAAGGCTCGAGCAATCGTGACGAAAAAACTGTCTGTCACATAAATATAACTTGTAATAGTTTTTACCTTCCTCAAAAAACCATCTCAAAGGGCTTGCAACTATGCTGCAAAAAGAAAGTTTGGAGATCACAGAGTCTTTGAACAGTGTAAATATAGGCTATACTATACATTGTTTGCATTGGTTCAACGATATATGTTGGCACCTCGCAAAATATCTACCGATATCTAATAATAAAACTGAAAAATGCAAATGTGGCAGATGATGACGATAAAGAAATGTAAAACGCAAAACCACCTAGAAAGACATGACTCTTTCAGCTGACTGTTGCTTTCCTGCACTAGTACATTTAACCAAGATGGATCAACCAAGAGATATCCATTCAAAATTGTGCGAGGCACAGGCACCGATGAGAAAATTGCAGTTGAGTGCGCTAAAGACTCAGCAAGCAAAAGAAAGATAACAGTAATCACAGTATGGGTGTCTCCTGCTCACTAATCACTATGGCAAAAAAATAAGATTAATTAAGAACAACTACCCAATTCTGTGCGTTTCAAGCTGTCGCTAATACTGCTGAGGATTTTTCAATAGACCATATGTAAATGCACAGTGCCACCTAGTGGAGCGCCAAAAAACAAGCTCCATCTTACCAGTTGGCTTTGGCGCTGGCGAATGCCAGGGTGCGGAAACGCACCTCCGAAGAATTTTTCGCTCGCACAAGCACTTGCGCAAAGAAAGCGCTTTCGAAAACCAGGCACCCGTGCCTTTGCCGGCACTCAAAGCTGAATTTCAAACTTAAGTGTACATCTGCCATGTTGGTTGCGGCGAGAAACCAGCGACCAGCAGGGTGACAAGCACGTACATGCACAAGAAGAGCGTAAAACAATACTAACCCTTAGCTCGCAGGGTGAGGATCGATGACGGTGAGCAGTAGGCCTCGATTGTTACCGACAACACTACGAAATAGACCATTTCCTATATTACCCAAGCATTATGGAGAATGCAGGAATTGGTGTTCCATGCACCACACGCGCACGCCTTCCTTGTATAAAAGATTCCAAGTAAATAACCAAAATAAAGCGTTGACGAACGCGCGAGCAAGATGCCATTAGTTTTAGGTATTTGCTTTAGAAAAGTTGCTGCTGCTGACGCCAGCATGTGCGGCGCGTGGAACACCAATCCCTGCATTCTCCTTGATGCTTGGATAATGTAGCAATAGGTCTACACACATTTGCAAGTCCGGCTTCAGGGCGCTGCCATCTTGCTCCCTGAAGTGCGCTTGAACGCGTCCTAATCCGATTACGAAGCCTTGCTAAGGCATCATAATCGGATTATGGCTGCGCCCAAGCGCACCCCACTCAGCAAGATGGCAGCGCCCTCAGACCGCACTTGCAAACGTGTATTGACAAACAGCAGAGGAGTCTTGACGCAACAAAGATGGCAGCGCACAGAGTGTTGCCAGACATCTGAACAATTTCACATATGGTCTATTGACAACTTTCTCAACAAACAAATGAATGTGTGGCTCACAACTACCGTAAAATGCAGATCAAGCGCCCACTCAAAATTTGGAAATATAATCGCAAGAAAGTGGGGGATGGGCGGATGCTCAGTATTTTATGGTAAAACAATTTCAATCGATTAATGCACATTTTACCGTAGAAAGCAGACAAGCAGATTGATAGATGTCTATTGACCGTCATTTAAAATACAAACTCGTAAGACTCTCAATTAGAAGTAACAAAATATATCTACTATATAGCAGGCGAGTAAAAGCAACAACAAACTATACTCCAACAATGCATGTAAAAAAAACAATGAGATGCGGTTCACGGCTGCTCGTCATGTTTGGGCGCTGGGACTCGCAGTCCCCAAAGGACCTTCGAGTGCTGCACTAGCAAAGCAAGCATTGACTACGTCTTGCCCATTCTGCAGTCCCCGTGAACCAGTAACCACTACGTCGACGGACAGAAGCTCCACCCTCCGCTAGTGCCATTCATCTGCAAAAAGAGGAAGAACACCAGCGTTACAAACTAGTGCTCAGTCCAAAGTATCCTCGTGGTAGTAGTGTGAGACAACAGAGACAGTCTCATGCTGTTACAATGTAGCAGCCATGCAAAAGCGAAGCACCAAAAGCTACACTATACATTGTTTCAGCTTAGGTCTAGACGCGGCCGACACTATTTTGTTTATGATTGGTTCGGCGATGATACAACACGCAGAAAAACATGTCGAACACCATGATGGTGTGCTTTTGATGCTGTCTGACTGGTCGCATTTGATCGTGTCTGATCAGTGTCCGACAGGCTGTGTCTGGACTTAGAGTGAAACGAAGTATCCTCCTAAACCCACGTGTACAACGTGTTGTCCATCTACACTTTGGCCCCTCAAGGTGACGCATTAAATTTGAGATATGAAAGACAAGATGTTCACAAAAGTGTACGCTCATTGCTTTCTTGTCGGTGTGTGGCAGGGCTGAAATGCAAGTGTAGAGTGTGCCGAAATCTGTACAATGACCACGAACAAAACTTGTTTCAATGCTTAGCATTTACAGGGCCAGCTCTAGCGCTTTTGCGTCTGCGATGTGACTTCAACAAAGCATGCCGTCGCCGATCGCTCGCTCCGTGAGCATCGACAACTGTTCTTGGAGCAGGGACTTTCCTCAGTGCATGCTCGACGGCAAGATAATGGACTAGAGATACTACGAAGGTTCTTTCTTGCGAGCTTTGTGTGCCCCCAAAGCGGTGAGAAGCGACAACGGTGGGTGGGGCGAAAAGAGACAAGCGAGGGACGCGGCGGCAAAACGAGAGTGCGGGGCCCAGCGGCGACGGGAAGCTAACTGCCATTGCAAGGCGGCTGACCGGCAGTTGAAGCGCCAGTTTGCGGACGATCCGTTCAGCGCGGTGTGTTTCGGGAGGACGTCAGCAAAGCGGTTCGAAATGCTAATGGAAAGTTGCATCGATTATGTTACAGCAGTACAGTTAGACAGCAGGAGAAGTAATTGAATGCTCTCCCATCACATAAGAAAGGCTGTCACTATAGGCTACTTGAATTTTGGCAAAATATGTTAGTACTATCAGCACTGATACTGGTATTGAAATTCGACACTGCCAAAGTAAAAAGCTATAACCTTGTCCCCTAACATTATGATACCATTCAGCAGAGCCACAAATGTTAGACCCTGATGGCATGCACCATGCTGAATGCTCTAGTATTTTAAACACTCCATCTCTTGAACCACTGCCTGGTTACAACTAAGGTTCCCTGTTCTCAAACAAATCTGAAAAAAAAAGCAGAAAAAGACAGACTGACAGGGAGTATTTCCTTGATTCAGGTGTATCTAAACAAAACACTCCATGTTTTTAAATTCTTTCTCTTCTGGAGGTTGAAACTATGAACCCCATGCCAAGAGGTTCTCAAATTCGAAAGTACAAGGGCTAGGTCACACCTATCATGTGGAAAGCTTGAAATGATACAAGCACACTAGTGTGACTAATTCATGTACCCAATCAGTGCTGTACCTTTATATTATAGTTTCCTGCTGAAAGTGCCTTTTTCTTTGAATGTTAAGAAAATGTTGTCTTGCATGTACTGTAATATCCAGAGATAGCCCACCTAAAATCGAAAGCAAATCGGGTAAAAAAAAAGGAGTAGGCTAACTTTCGGTATGTGATAAAAAAAGTTGACAAAAATGCTAGTGATTTTAGATTTTGTGACCGGGGAAACTTCTGATTGCAGGGAGGGGTGATGAACGAAAGTTGTTCGCTTACTGTAATATATATAGCCAAATAGTAGATAGCAATCTTGTGTCGTTTTTAAACTTTCACGTACCAGCCCGTGTCGTTAGAAACTCAAGTGTGTCCAAACGAGATCGTCCCCTTTGGCTCGAATGCAAATTTGTTTAAATGAATTTCTGACTCTTGTAGACATACTTTTAAATTTTGCTGCGTTCAAGTGACTACTTGATATGCATATTTTTGGTTTCTGATTTGTGAGATGTTTTAATTTCGAGAGCATATGTCGTTCGAAATTGTGTACTGTTTCATGTGTTTTTTTTTTTTTCCCCTTTTTTAACTTTTTATGTGCCACCACACCGTAACCAAGAGGTTGTTCTGGCGCATGATACAAATAAAGGACAATTATTATTATTATTATTATCTCCCGCCGTGGCTAAGTAAAACCATTTCCACCGAGGTCACCATTGGCCAGGGCCCTGAAATTACTAAAAGTGTGCTATCTTTCAATGTTTTTGAAGAAAAAAAAAAAATTGCAAATCAGGCCAAAATAAGGGGTGTGCTATCTTTCGGGGGTGGGATATCTCCGGGGATATTACAGTAAGCATTCCGAACTTACATGCTCAAACTTAAAAAAAATGTAATATTTCAGGCTATTGCAAATGAAAACTCTGTTTCACCAACGTTGACACCTGCAATGCTAGCCTTTCTCTATTTTGTTCTGGGCACAAGTTTGCCCCATTAAACGTTTAGTTTCCTCATTATTATTCTTTTTGCCCCATTAAACGTTTAGTTTCCTCATTTATTCGCCGCCTCATCCTTTGTCATTCGTGACAATATTCAACCCTTAGAAAACCAGCATCCCAAAAACTGTGACAAAAAGGAACATGCAGAGCAGGACAGGTATCAACTTTAATTCATTCAGCACCATTTTTAAAAAGAAATGTAGAACTAGTATGCATTGATAAAACACGTATGCTTCTGCTCCTTTATAATTGCACCCTGCTTATTCACCCAAATGTGCTCCAAGGGTATGCATGGCAGGGAAAGCACAGGGGCAAGCATGACATTAAATAAAGGCTGCTGCCTCGTGCAACCACAACTACAGGCAGGACAGACCCATGCGACACTAACATGCAAGGCGTTATTCAGGCAAAAAACCACAAAACGAAGTACACCCAGACAGACTATCAAGATAGCCACTCTAGAAGTGGGGGTTAAGGCAAGCAGACAAACACAGACTTCCAAACAAAGAAGTAAGCCTAAGTTTGGAAGACCAAAAGGTCCAGTAGATACTAACCATAACTTGGAACTAACTGGTACGCTGTCCCCTGCCAAAAAAATATGATAAAGAATGAAGCCGGCCCGTTTCACTGGGCAGTTATGAACTGGAAGCACTGTGTTTGGGCAGCAAATTTCTCGTACCTCGCAAAACAATAGAGTGTTCAGACAAGCAGAGATTCCTACACCAAATAGCCATGCTGCATCTGACAATACTAAGAGCAACAGCATTTTCGGAAAGTCTGCCGAGCCTCAGACAGGCACATGCGCTGAGCATCAGATGGCTTATTCGCAGTGTTGGGAAGTGCTTCAAGCACACTGTACTTAAAGTACTACTTCAAGTAGGGTTAGAAAGCTTGTACTTTACTTGAAGTATATTCTCTGAGTGTGCACTTGTACTTTACCCAAAGTAATTTTTCTGATACTTTCTAAGGAAAGTACAACTCCCAACTTCAAAGCACATTCCCCAAATTTGGTCTTGGTACATTTGTATCACAAATTGATGCTTTGTCCCCTCTGAACAAATACTGGGAGGGATATTCTACTGGGGTGGCCTGAGCAGCGGCGCCAGCGCCGCTGCTCAAGCCGGAAACGGGCGCCTAAGAGATGCGCTCTAAAATAAAAGTTTTGCGCATTATTCATGCCCTGTGCGAAGTACATACTAGTTCTTGCAATATTTGGTTGTGGAAAAAGTAGCAGTGATTTTGGCGCATGAGACGTATATGTCTTGATAAATAACAAGAAGCTAAGCTAAGGTATCTTAATTCAATGCATGAAGGGGGAAATTAGTAGCCTTCCACAGGAGCCTGACTTTTTTTTACTTTGGTTCTTGAGGTGAATATGAGTATAGTCGTTGTGTTGAAAAGTACTTGCACTTTACTTTGAAAGTACGCTGTATTTATAGTATACTTTGCTTTACATACATTGCACCTGGTGTACTTAGTAGTTTACTTGAAGTACATAACCTCTCATTTACTACATACTTTACTTCAAGCACATTTTAGATGTACTTCACCTTCACCGTGTAAGCCCCTGCTTAGAGCGGGACACACTACTAAAACGACCTGCACTTGCACCAAGCTCTCACGAAACAGTCGTGAGAATGGACTTTGTGTGCCAATGAAAGTGGTGGATTCATCAGAAGTCACTGCCGGCAGTTCACCAGTTGGTCGCACGAGCGTGACTGGAGCGGCCAGTGAGGAAATCTAGCGCAAGCAATTCCTTAAAAACAGCTTCATGCATGCACTATGATGCTGGATTGGTTTACTTGCCTCATTGTTAAGGCAACATAAACAAGCTACAACATAATGTATGCCCCTGAACTAAGTAATAACTAAGATTATACTCTGGAACTTGGAGGCTCTTGCACATTTTGAAGCGTGTATTACAATATGCAAGGTTCAACTATGACACTAGACAAAATCCCTTTTTCTGGGGTATAAACGGGGAAGCTGATTGTGCATGGGGCATTTGATCTTGCATTTATTGCCTTCCCTGCTTAGAGCACTTGAGATGTGACAACCTCACACTTGAAATGCTAAGATCAGACTAGGCACCTTGGAGGCACAGATTCGCTTACCACTTACTCGATCTGCTAGTGAATAGGTGGGAGAAGCAGCAAACAGTAACGTGTTAGCCATTTAGCTTACGAGGCAGCTGAACTGCAGTTAAGGCAGAACAAGCTGTTTGCGAGAGGAAGAATTGCCAGGCAGAAACAACATTCTCCCTCTGTTGCCTTCTGGCCTGACTGCGTCCTAGTGCACACAGTTTTCGGAGCTGTTTATGATGGAAGCATCTGACATCCCTTGTTGTCACGGATCTGAGCGTTTATAACACTTTCAAAGAGGCACTGTAGCAGCAAAATAAACTTGGGTTACATATCACACAAGCAAAAACTGCTTAGCAAAAGTGTCATGCAATTGCTTGCCATCTCTTTCTGTCACTGCCACTCTTTGGCATGCATTGAAGATTTCTAGCACTTGTGACACGGAACTGAAAACATTCAGTTGATCATACTCACTGCCATGCAATATATGCAGCAAACTGTCACCAGGAAAACTGCAGTCTTGAAGAATAAAGGTACAGTATATTTTTAGCGGACATCTTTGCTATTTTCCCCTCCATGGCTCTCTCACAGTTGGAACCCCCTAGTTTCTTGCACTGAAGCATATCTTCACATGAGCATGCAATATCAAGTTTTGACCAGGAGCAGAAAATATTTAAGTTTCCAAAACTCCGAGCTTACCCTGTGCCACTGACACATCTGGGCTCGACTGGCTCAGAAAGAGTGAGTGGTCGTTACGTTCCCGGAAGTGGTGGCCAATCATCTGCCAAGCACAACCAGACAGATTACGGCAATCACAAAGAAAATGCCCTTCGGGTAATAGAGAGTTATGATGTATTCGCACAACCAATTTTTATCTCTGTAGAAAATCAAGCACGTCATACAGCTGTGAGGAGGAAACACCGCGAGAAGGCAGAAGCAGCTTAGGAAATCCGAGCGAGGCCGGGGAAAAAATAAAGAAAGAGACTAACCACAGTCCTATGCACCTGACAGTAAACCTTTCACTAAATGAGAGGGACCATGAGCCCGGGGCTCTCTGCAGGCTCGAGGGATTAGCGAACATCTGTGACGCGGTGCACATGACCTCAAAACTCTATAGTGTTTAATTCCCTCCTCTATGAAAAATTTTGTTGTGCGAATACACCACTTGAGGCAGATCACTGGCAGTCAACATGAGCTTTTTGAGATTGGTGGTGTGGCCTTGAGGTTCGCTCGGAAATGAAAACCTATAAAAGAACTTATCTTGCAGCATGTAACCTTTAAATTTCTCTAGCCTCGGTTGAAAGTAATATCAGGAACCGTTCAGTGAAATATAAAATGCCGCTCGGGAAAACAATTCTGGCCACACCACTGTACACAATTAAAAGTTCTCACTGGAATCGTTAAAAATCACAAATTTTACTCCTATGTATGTGCTACAAACCAACTGGCATATATACACAAATAGTCACTTCAAACAAGAGGTGACAGATTGGCTTACAGGAATCCTCAAGAGAGATGTCCAGCCAAAAACCACTAGGAGGCAGCCCACCTAAAAAGAGAACAAGCAAAATGGGGACATTTAGCTAAAACGTGCAAGCTGAACTTAGTTTGAGCCAGCTTTCCAAAATCACTATGAAAAAAATGACGAAACACCATGCTGGGCCCACCAGACACTCCCATTTGAGCAGCACTTTGGGAGCATTTCATAGTCAAAGATTCCCTCTCTCGAACAGAGCACAGAAGAGTCACTAGACAGGTTTCCAGGACACCATCTCAGATTTATATTCCAAAACCAAAATAGTGGCATGTTGCCTTCAGCACTGCCTGGACACATCCCATGTGTATCGACACAGTCAGCAGTAGTGACTAAACTTCGAACTTTAAAACAAATTATGGAGTGCCAATGGCACACAGCCAGGGTGGAGAGTAATAATCAAGTTGATTTAAATTAGGATTTCAGTCACGATTTATATCATATCTAAATCGGGTCGGTTTTGGTGTGATGATTCAGATCAAACCTTTTCCACAGAAATAATTCAAAAATATAATTTAATTTGCCGTTTTTTCTATTACAAGATAGACAAGCTGCAGTTCGCGAACCGCATGTGGCTCTTCGCATGTTAAAGTGCGGCTCGCAGCTCCCTCCCCTATCCTTGCCTCCCTGCCGTCACATGAGCACTTCCCCCCCTAAAAAAATGGAACGCGTTTCAAATCGAAAGACAGGTTGCGGTTTGGTAGTCTTGTGCTACTGCTACCTTACGTACAGTGGGACTGCTTTTGACTCGGATAGATTGAAAGTAGTTAGAGTTTCGTTTATTGCTCTGAACAAAAGTTTGCACCCCCCACGGCTCTTGGAACTTTTGTGCTTTTGTTTGCGGCTCTTAGGCCGGGTCGGCCTGGCCACCCCTGGTCTATCATTTGATGCTTTCTATGTACATTTGTTTTGTATTTAAATCGAGGAATCATCAAGCAAGAAAGATGTACATCAGGCTGAACATGAGCAAGTTGGAACGTCGAGCTTTCTTTCTACCAACGAATGCGAAAGAAAGAAATTAACACTAGAAAAGTAATTCCCTATTGCTGGAAAATCAGAATGCAAAAGAAAAAGCGCATAAAGCTTTTTCACCAACTAAAATATATCAAGCTTTTTTTGTTTTACTATGGCGAGATTTACTCACTAAGAAGTTCTTAATTAAATTGCAACTTAAATTTACAGTAATCCTTTCTTCCGCAATGTTTTCAGTGATCGGACAAATTGATGAATTAATATGCCATGTTTAAAAATACATCTAGGAATTAAGAGGCATGATTTTATAGCTACAGAGATTTGAATCAAATTAACCTGGTTTAAACCAAAATAAATCTGATTTAAATCAAACAAATCCGATTTAAAGGGCAACTCCGCTTCGTGATAATGAGTGATTTTACACTAAAAAGCACTAATAAAAGACACTACATCATTTGTGTTGCGAAAAATGGGATACATACTGTTAAATGTAATATTAAACAGGAGCAGAAACCTAAACCGAAACTTTGTCTCTTTCTGGCAACATTGGCCTCGGGCTGCCAAGATAGTGGCTATCACGTGGTACGAGATGTCACGTGATCCTCTACGCAACGATGGGTGGGATTGTGGCGGGCGTGTGCCAGGCGCAAGTGTCGTCTGCACCGCACCTTTCACCACGTTGTGGTGCTTACGACATTCGACGACGTCTGCACAACTGCGGCGTCGACGACGTCTGCACAACTGTGTCCGTAATGTGAACAAAACTCTGAGACAAAAGTCACAAATGGTAAGATGACAATGGCGGTTCTGAAGCAGGAGACGGCGGTAATGGCTGGACGGCCGGACGTCTCCCAAAAAGTGCACTGCGCAGACGCGTCAATCACGTGGACACCGCTGAGCGCCGAGAGGAAACATTGTTGACGGCACCTGCTACGCTTGCCCGAAGAAGTAAAAGCAAACGAATAGGGCAATGGTTTAGCTCAATGTTGGCTATGGCCACGCCGTTGCCTTGACAGCACTGTTGGTTCAACTCGCCCAGCCAATTTCGGCAACTTGGCGAGTTGCAAAGTTTGCTTGACTGTTTAAGAAACATTTAGACAAAACTAGGTCGTGATATTTGACGTGTAGTTTTCCTAGGTGATACTAAAGAAGGCTGCATTGTTTTTTCAAGGACAAAAATGAAGCGGAGTTGCCCATATTTGTTTTTTATAAGTCATATTTTTTTCTATTTTGACCATGAGCAGGCAGCGAGAGAAAAAAATGCTTAGACTGCTGTCAAACTCCTGTGAACGTAGAATATGCTCACATGTATTGTGGCATCACATGGCCTTGTCACGTGGTAAGCTTTCCTGCTAGATTCAGTAAAAAATTCAGCAGATACAGTTAAGAATGCTTACGTGCAGGAAAGTGAAAGCATTCCTGCCTGCACTGCATTCCTTTTGCACATGTCTCCCTTTCGCACACGGTGCTCCGGCGGCGACATCCCACTCCCCACTGTGCAGGCGCGGCAAAGCATGCCGTCTTCACGGCGGCTTCCGTGACGAAGCATTGCATTGCTGCACTTTTCTTTACGTTTTATTTCAAAAGTGCGTCCGCTTTGAACTTGAGCACACCCGCCGGCTTGCATGATGAAGCATTTGCATCGCTGTGCTTTTCTTTGTGTTTTAATGGGAATAAGAATTTAGGTGCCGTTTTTCTGCTACAGACGGTTACAGACAACGTCGGCTTCGCTCCATGGGACAGTTAATGCTTTTGCATTAAAAGGTTGTACGGACCCTTTACAATGTTGCATCTGTTCCCACTAAATATAGTAGAAAAACTTCCTCATCATATTCAGCAGAAATCCGTGACGTTACATTTGTTTTTGATGTTATGCCTTTCTGTGATGTTAGATTGTTGTGACATTATGTCTGTCTATGATGTTACATACTGTCTGTGCCACCGCATTTGTTCTTGGCATTATGACTCTATAATCCTACATCGTGACATTACACTTCTTTCCAGGGTCATCTGCCCAAGTAAAAAAAAAAATGTAATCTACATAAACAAGGAATGGAATATACAGTAGCCCTATCCAGTCTCCCCGACTTAGAGTTTGAGAGGAAAGGCTCACGAGGTACAAGTTGAAGCCAAGGTAGAGGATGCCGAAGACGACCATGGCTAGGTCGACAGCCCAGTGGTCTGGCAGCTCCTTCCTGACAAAGTTGCTCACAAAGTACAGGTTGATGGCAATCACCACCGCCGACAGCAGGCTCGCAGCCACCTTGGTCACACTGTGCCCATACAGAAAGGACAGAGAGGAGAACATTCAAAGCTTATGTCCAACATTTACATATTCTGAACACAGTGCATTTTGTTCCTATTATTTTACTAGTACCATATTTTCCAGACTATAGTCCGTGAACTATGTACATGTTTAAAAGTTGGTATTCTAAGCTGTACAGACGATCCAAAGGTGTGGACTATACGAGAATTCATACTTCAACCATGCTCGATATCGGAGCGGTTGTCGCCCAGTGCAGCTGCTGAAATTGCACAGTTCCACGCTGCGCATTATTCAGCAAGAAAAGTTGAGATGTTGGTGTGCTGCTTTCGCTCCTGCTGTCCTTGCAGGTGAGACGCAAGGTAGCTGTGCTTAAATAAACAATTAATCTGCCGAGCTTGAACTTGACAGCGCTGCTTGCAAAATGTTTACTACAAGTAAATAAGTGGCTGCAAAGTCTTTCAGAAACCTCAACCACGTCGCTTCCAAAATGATAAGAGTGTTTCCGCTGATTTTTGTTTCTGCTAAAAACATTTTAACTATAAAAACAATGACTATGAAAAGAAGCACTTGCATTCATATTGCTTTACGAGTCAGCACAAAGTGCTGTTTGCATTAACATTTTTACAGACATGCAAGACATGCATGAAGTACACGTTTAGTGCGGACTATGCACTGGGTGCGAAATATCTAAGAAAAAACACTTTTATTCATCCCTGCAGAGCATGGGCCAGATGCGGGCTATAGTATGGAAAATACAATACTCATATCTGCTCAAAAAAGTGGATGATTAATATGTAAAGTAAAGCCATCAAAAGTATTTGGAGTAAAGAGCACAACAAAGGGAACAGAAAGAGTGGAATGTTGGGAGCGAAGATGACTTCTTAAGCTTTTTTTTCAAGAGTTTTGGCAATATAGTGTAAGGTGTGAAACACCACCTTTCTTGTAATCTCATATCCCCTTTTAGTTCCCAACCTTGAAAGGTTTGTGCTCCCTTCGCTGTCCCATTTAATCTTTAAGCCGTGCCAGCGAGACTCCGCTTTATTTTATAAACAGGAGCATCTAAAAAGTGGTCTTGGAAGATGAGGGCACGCACGCTCCAGTCTTGAAGTCCCCCATGACTGCGGCAGAGGCGGTGAAGGTGAGGGTAGGGATGAGGGCAAAGGGCAGCTGCAGGCTCATCAGGGCGTTGAGCAGGTCGTTCATCCCGGAGAGTTGGTCCATGCTACCGAAGACGGCACACAGCACCGTCGGGGCAATGGCGATCAGCCGCGTAATCAGCACTCGCAGCCAGCGGCTGATCGGAAGGTTGAGAAAGCCCTGTGCGGAATTAGCTCGTTTATTCCACGGTAAGAGTGGAAACACAGAGAGCAAACTGCGACGCGAGATGCAGAGATGTTACAGCATGGAGTGACTGGAATAATACGAAAAAGCTTATGAGAATACAAATGAGAAAGGATATATGAATTAAACGAAACACAGGCAGGCTGTCACAAGAGTAAGCTCGTAAACACAGCTCAACAGGCACTTTACTGACCGTTAGTCTGGTGCGAATAGTGGATTTTGAGTTTGAAGCGAATTCGAAGCAAATAGTGGTTTTGGCCAAATATTTTCGAATCGAAACTCGAATAATGTTTCCACGCCTTTCACTACCATAACATAATGCTTAGACAAAACCCCAGCGGAACTTGCAAAGTTTGTTCCACCTGTTCATTTATAAGCCAAGTTTAATCTATCTATATTTATGAACTGTAACCTCAGAAGGTCTGATGTCTTGGAATGGTAAGTAAACAACAAGTTTGACATAAAATGAATCCAACGGAAAAGGCCAACTATACCCAATCGAGTGAATTTACAAATCTTAAATATTCTTTCTTTAATTTCGAGTTAAAAAAGAATGACTCACACATGATGAATGCAGGCTGTAAGGGCATGTTTGCCCAACATAGGCTCTTGCAAAACAGTCAGTGTAATTTTAAAACTTTTACTACAATGTAGATACTGTAAAACCCCTAATGTTCGCGAGCCCTTAATTTTCGCGAATATAGCAAATTAAAAAATTTGCGAAACTTAATGGCACGCGAAAATTTCGCTCTTCAAGAATTTCAATGCAGGTCTCTGGAATTCGCGAACTTCAGTGGTTGCTATATGTTTTCTATGACTGATTCGCGAAAAATAGGGACCCCGAAAATAAAGGGTTTTACAGTATACACATTCACAAAGTTTCCATTTATTTTCATATACAGCACCATCCCGCTTTGAATGTATGGTTTCTGTCCAAGCACGCAACTGCGATATTCATACTTTTTCCAAATGTTTATCGCGGCAGGTTACTCCGTTGAGTGCGCTTCTTACCGAGTACCGAGCTAATGCGAAGAAGCAACACCCGCGGCACTCGCTTCCGCGGGTATTGCTTCTCCGCAGTGCACCGGTGCGCAATAAGAAGAACACTCAACGGGGCTAACCCACTGCAATCAACACTACGAAAAACGCGAATCGTGAAGTTCTTCTCGAAGCGAATATTGAATAGTGTATTATTCGGAACTACTATTCGAAATTTCGAATATTCGCACAACCCTACTGACCGTGCATCATAATTGTACTTGGTATGTTATACTGCTCAATGAATAAATCCCAAGTTTTGTCTCCAACAATGTGGTAGTATAAGGCATGTGCTTTGGTTTTGATTGTGCTGACTGAGAGTAGAAGTTTTTGGGGTGTGAAAATCTTTTACATTTTAGCCATGCTTCCAAAGCTCAAGAAAGTAGAATGTAGGGTGTGGTAGTATAGTGTGTGAGAATATTGAAATGAAAATACTGCAGGATTATCAACGAATGCCTCACCCCAAAATAGCATATGTATCACTCGCAACATTTTTATGTGAAATATTTTTTTTACTAAAAACTATGAAAAACCCATTGCCTGTCTACCACAATGTTTCACTTGACATCCAACAGAGTAACTTTGACCTGTTATAGATGAAAATATCAGGCACGGTACTGGTGAGGTGTGTAGGGAAATGCTGGATGGTGGCCGGGATGCACAACACCACGTGCATTTGGGCCGAGCCACGTTCACCTCCTTGGAAAAGCTCCGGACAAAACAGAGACGACGTACCTCCATGATGAACTGTCCAGAGTAAGTTCCGGTCATGGTGGAGCTCTGACCAGCGGCCAGAATACCAATGGCCCAAATGTACAGGGGCCACATGCCAAAGGCACAGCCCAAGAAGACGCCCTGGGAGTAACCGAACAAAAATTAATAAATTTATCAATGTTTCCTTTACAATATACGCACACGCACGATCTAGGGATAATCAACTTCTGTGAATTGGTGCTTGCGAACTGCCTTTTCGGCCCGCATCATTAAAAAGATAATTTAGATGAAAATATACGCTTCACTGGAACTGTAGAGACGGAAGTGTGATCAAAACAGGAAATTTTCCGTTTCCACGTCACAAGTGGGCACAAGTGAATCACATTGTTAAGTAAAATTTGAAACTTTATGCTCGAAGGTGTGGCGTTAAATAACTGTGTTCATTGTGCATGTTTATCAGCAAGGAGGTGCGTGACAGATGAGAGAGGATGTTGCACATTCCCCAACTTGACTACAGTGGCCAGAGAGAGCCTTTCCCAGAAGCAGGCAATGCTCACCCCCTTGTAGATGTCCACATCCACAACCTCAGTGTTATTCTGAAACAAGGCAAAACGGTAAAACAGTTTGCTCCAACTCTCAATGGTCAATGTCCAAAAATGTAAAAAAATGCTTACATCAAAAACATTCTTGTAATCAGTCCCTTGGCAAAGAGTCCACTGAAACAAAGACATACCGCTCATGTAACTTTTAAGCGATGGAACCATCACTCTTGAATCTGCATTAGATATTCCTTGCCTAAGTCAGAAACTATAAGGAATGAAATAATGACACCTGTACTGAAGGGTAATGAAACAAATTTGTCTTGTACAGAATGCTCCCTAATGCCCAAGTCCCACTACAGAGACAAACAAAAAGAACTAACACCGACGAGCCTTAAAGGGGTACTCCGGCGATTTCTTTATGGTCCCCGATTTGCTTGAAATTTTGCTAAACTCGCCAAACAACATCGCCAAAATAGTATCCCAAATATTAGGTCAAAATAATTTTTTTTCACAAAGTTATTGAATTTACAATTTTGGTCCTCACCGTGTTTTTCAAACTGAACGTCTATACAGGCAACAACGAAAAAGTGACGTCAGTGGAAGTGCAGGGGTTCACTCTTTGGACTGTAGAATTTGTTCCCAACTGATTCGAAGCAGTTTCATGGTGTCAAATGAATGCTTTGGAAGCTCGCTCCAGTCCCCGCGCTCCAGCACGGAACAAATGATTGGCATATTCTATTTTTTAAACTGCTCGCCCGACTGGCAAGCTTGCCTTCCACTGACGTCACGGCGCTGAAAAGTGCGGGTATATTTGAATGTTGGTTTTTGCATCATTTTCATTTGCCAATTTCGCAATAACTATTATGAATTTCTCGATACTAAATAGCATACAGGAAAGGGTAAAGGCCGGGGAGTCAGAAAATATAGTTAGTTGAGGTAGCTCAAAAAATCGCCGGAGTACCCCTTTAAACACATGCAGCATGCATGCAATACGTTTGGCAGGCTTGCAATGTCTCGGTGCTCGTCAAGTAAGCACGAGTAAATGTAAACCTGCCAAAAATACCCTCGCGTGCAAACTGCATGTATTCGAGGGTTCTCGGTGTCGGCTGTTTCTGTTTGTCATAGCTTTCCATTTGCAAGCAGCTTTCCATTTCACTTACCGTAGAACCCCCCATTCCACATTAAGCGCCCATTACCAAATTTGTGAGATCTGAGAAAATATGCACAGTACATTTATATGTAAAATTGATGACCGGACAAGCACCCATCCCCCATTTTTTTGCGATTACAGTAAAACCTCGTTATAACAAAGTTGAAAGAGCGGTCATAATTATTTCGTTATAACCATTAGTTTGTTATAGCCAATGTCCATTTCTTCCCACTATTATCAAGCAAGGGGAATTATGATTGCTTTGTTATATCCATTAGTTTGTTATATCCCAGTTTGTTATAACGAGGTTTTACTCTATCTCCAAAGTTTGAGTGGGCGCTTGCCCGATATTTTACGGTAGTCACTGGTCTTTACACATGTCACAGATAACACGTGAATGCTAATATAATGAACAAATGCTCTTGCCAAGTTTATGTATTTTTTCTACAGCAGTGGCTGCAGAAAAAATACATACTTCAGGGGCCCTATGAAGGTATTCAGGGTCCCTTTGGGGTCCCTGAATGCCTTCATAGGGCCCCTGAAGCCCTGGACCATGAATTGAGCCGAGCAATAAAACTTTTTTTTTTTGAAGCAATAGCTTTACGGGCGACACTTCGCAGGGATTTCGATGTCTGCGTTTGTTGTCCGTCGTCGCAGCAAGACTGTGGTTGCAGCGGAAATGAAAAAACCCTTCTTGTGCTCCCTCACAGTGAGAGGAGAGAAGTCGGGTGTTCCCATTGGCCACACCGCACGAATACTCCATTTCATACTTAATCTACAATGCTGCCGAGGCTAGGAGCATGAGCGTGTGGCTTGGCCTAGTGCCTGATTTGCACAAGACCGCGTGCAAATGAGAAGCAGGACTGAGCCAAGCGCACGCGCTCCTAGGCTTGGCAGCATTGTAGATTAAGTATGAAACAGAGTATAGTTAGAAGTTTTGTCTGTTCGTCCTCTATGAGATCCCTTCCTCAAATCTGTATCCATTACCAACACGCATGTTTCGTTTGTTACTACAAACACTCCACCAACATAACGCCGCAAGATCACAAGTCGGAACTCCGCCCCCTTTGCCTGAACAAGGCTCTCATGAGGGTATGTGTCGGACACGCGTGGGAACCTTAATATCTTGATCACAAAAGTAAGTCACTATTTTGTCTAGGTGAAATGCCGAATATGACTCGTCAAAATCTGTTAATTTTAATACTGGAGAAGGCTCCTCAAGTGTTTAATTCAGTCTATCTAGTGTGTAATTTATTATTACGTGCAAAGCATTTAAGTAACCACTGTAGAGCATTTAATATTCATAAACCCCTAATTTCTGCAGATTGAAGAAAAAAAAGAGTGAAATTAGCAAAAGTTTTGCATTTCACAGCTCCAAAATACAACCACTAAAAGTCGTCAAATTTAGTGACCGTAAATATGTCCCATATTCCCAATTTGCGATATATTGGGACCATACAAATGATAGGTTTCGCTACATTAGTTGCCCCAGCTAAATTACGAAATATATTTTCCCGCAAGATAAAAAGTCGCAATCACCGCGTTGCACCATAGGGACAGCCTGTGCCAGGCCTTGGAAACGAGGTTTGGTAGAGAAGCTGTATCGATTATACCAATATGAAGCAACAATAGAGTAGAATAACTAGCCAGAGTTTAAACAAATCGAGAACAAGTTTTCTTTTGATCGTCCTCGGAATATTTTTTAGTTTGGTGCTTTTGTTGTTTGCTTGTCTGTCTATAAAAGTTTTTTTAGTTTTGAATGAATTTATGCTTCTTATAATTAGCATATTGTGTCAAAATATTAAATTTGTGACTCAATCATTTTCTAAGATTCAGGCCTGCAGACTTTGGGGGAAAATGATCAAGTAGACGAAATTTTTTTTTTTTAGTAATTAAAAATATAATAAACAATAATAGCAATTTTTTCGTATTGTGAAGTATACATATATTTCGTCCAAAAATTGTGAAACTCGTGAAGAAAGTACAACTTTCTTTATTTATTGCCAAAGTTGACCACTTCGGTTACGCACATAAATGCGACTTTCCACCTCTTCGTGATCTAGAAATTTTTCTGTCCAATAATTTTTTTTTGTTGTTGTGGGTGAAAATAAGTGTGATTTTGTTTCTCCCAGGCAGCGGAAAATAAGATATAAAATTATGAAGTAAATTAAAAAGGCTGACCGGCCATCCTCTGTTCGATTTTATGTGAAATTACCTAGCCATCGCTTCTTTGCACCTTGTCGACAAAAAAGACCCTCTTTTTATCGATGCTCGCTGTCCCTCTAACGCTAAATGAACCAAAGCGTGTGCACCGAGTGAGAAGGGTTGGTTATTCTCCCTTTCAGAGCTTCAAACTTGGTTTGCACGCATTCAGTTTTCTTCGTTACCCTGTTGTCATTGAAATCGTGCCAATACCACACCTCCGCCAGAAACGATGGTCAAATTTGGGGGTTTTACGTGCCAAACCTACGACGGGCATCTGGCACGCCCCAGCGGAGGACTGAGGATTAATTTCGACCACCTGGGGATCTTTTGACGTGCAACCGAAAGCTCGGTTACACGAGCGCCTTCTCCGCAATAAGCCTCCGTCATATTGCGGGCACCTCGGTCGGGATTCGAACCCGCCACCTGGGGAGCCAGAAACGATGGGTTCCCCATTACTTCTGCCGATCTAGGGAGGGTCACCGAAACAGCGGTGGTCAAGAACCCTTTAGCAACGCCTAAAATGGCCATGATGATATAAAAACAAATAACTTCATGATTAGTGACATTGCATGCTATTATAATGATAATTAAAATGTGGATCAGAGCATCCTCTACTACCATACTGAATTGGAGGTGTGAAGAGAATGAGGAATGACTCTGGTCTGAAAACGTGCAAAAAATCTGGAGACTCCTTTTTTGGAGTGACTACGACACACGCTGAATGTTACACTCAAACTTACAATGTCCAGGTTTGTCTTCCCATAGAGGCCATGTGCGAAGACTGCCATGACGAAAATGTTGATGATGAGCGAAACAAAGAGGGCGATGCAGGCTTCGATAAAGTAATATTTGTTGGCCTCCTTGACCTGAGTCTTGTCGGTACGGTCAACGTTCCGCGACTGAAAAATTCCACAATCAATACCACAACAATGAGCACTTCTATCTAACCAGTATCTACTGTTCCAACCGCAAGAACATTAAAAAAGAAAAGAAAAGACAGAGGTTTTGAAGAAAAACTTCTATGCCAATCCGTACCCCAACACCAACAATTTAATGAATAAATAGTAATGGGTATACCGGGCATTAACTTTTTATATGAAACAAATTTTTAAAAAATATTTCTTTACCGCTACATGAATGCAGTCTTCACAATATGTTTCTTGAGCTCAGCGGACATTCGAGGGGCAAACAACTGTCACAGTCCGGTGAGTAACTAACTAAAATTTGTTAACTTTTAATTACTGAAAATAGACACATGGTTCCACCCAGAACCTTGTTGAGTGTCATTTAAAACCACTAATTCAGTCATTTTCAGAAAGACTTTGAGCGTGTGAGAAGCGCAGTGTTGCGCTAAAGTTACCACTTGTGCAGCATGGAGCAAGGCTACCGGTGCGGTAAGGTGCCCGCGCGATTTTTTCGTCTGTTATCGTAGCCCCGTAGCTTATCATAGCACCTTTTTTTTAAAATCAGTTTCGAATAAAAAATAACACACGATATATATACAAAATAAATATGAAACAAAACAGGATAGTGTTTTTGCCTCTAGAGATAGCACAAGAGCATGATTTTGTTAATGGCATTACCAGTAAAACATTTCCTCACACTGCCCTGTCCCGTCCAAAGTATACACAAAAATTAATATTTCATTCGACGCTTTCCACTTTGAAAACCTGAACCCATAGAGCTCGAGCATGATGATGAACCCACACCCTAAAGGAAGACTATACCGTTAGGTCACTGGTTCTCAAAATGGAACCCTAGGAATCGTCGCGCCATTAAGTAAAAGGTTCCTCCTGCTCGAGCATTGTTTTAGAAGGTCCAAGCTAAACCCCGTGCCAAACCTTTCTCCTACTCTGTTTTACCCCTCGGCTAACAGTGCGGGGCAGGTGTCCGTCTTTCGCCATGTGAGCATGCTTTCGCCCATACGGACGTGCAGCGTGTGGGGTCGGGTGAGGAAAGAAGGGAGGGGGATGCGCACCGTCGGCTTAGGCGCAGATGGCGCACCTTATTGTTTACAAGGTCCGAGGGCTTCTGCGCCGCTTGAAGCTACCGGATGCAACTTGTGCCACTTGAAGCTGGTTCCCACAACCGTTCAGAGCAGTGTGCTTTGAAACCTCTCGAAATCACTTTACGACGAGAGAATACCTCTATCGGGAAGTTGTTAACACTTTCAGTTTCTGTAAATTTCCTTTCTTTTTTTTTTTGCGCATCATTCTTTTCTTTTTTGGCTCAAAAATCTTTTGACAATGTTCTAAACGACCCCTTCTCGCAGATGGTAGGTACACTCAATCTCGCGAATACAGCAGAACCTTCGCTCTAGTGAAAAGAAGTTCCAGGGTTACCTCATAAATGCGCTAGATTGCTATCTCGTCGTAAGATACCACGAGAGCTCGGTCCTAAGCAAACGCGAGTGTGTGAACGGGCCTTTACTCTATGAAAGAGAGGTGTGCTAGAGCAACCGGGAGTTAGAAGTGGGAAAAGGAGTACAATTCTTTTCATTGTCAACACCCAAACTCGCAACATGCAGACACCAAAGCGATCTGGGGGCCTTTACCTTGACAAGAGCCGAGTGAAGGTAGAGGTTGTGCGGCATGATGACGGCCCCCACAATGCCCACTGCCTGGAGCAGAGCGCGGTTGTCGCAGTTGGCGCACCAGGGGACAAACAGGCCTTCCACCACCTTCACCTGGTCCGGGGCCACCTTCACGTACTGCGGATCCGCACGGCAAACAAAATCAACAAGGGGAAATCGGCGGTTGAACGTGTTAACGTGCCCCCACCTAGGAGCACGTGGAGCAAAAGCTTGCGCCGCAGTACCCCAAGACCCTGGCTTCGACCCCCACCCCTGCCCGTTTCAGCCTGGATGAGCACCGGCGTGCAGTCATGTGATATCACCACTGCGTGATGCACCTTAAGAAGCCCAGGCTAGGAGTGTACTGCACTGGCTCTAATCTACAGCATAGACATGGAAGTCCTTTAGGGCTGACTAGCTTCCCACACACACAACGCAGTTACTTTGTTAAAATTGTCAATATACTGACTGCAACGTCCGCTAGGTGCATTCATACCCTGCGCCTTCACAATAAGTGAATTCACATATTTGTACAACACAGTAAGACAGTGTTGCATTTGCTACAGGCTCATCTGAACTTCTGTTCGCTCCAACAAATGGTGACAAGTGACTCGCAAGTACCCACATTCACTGCATTGATGAAGACTGACTTGCATGCGTGCGCAACAGGGCTGGTAGAATCCGGTGAAGCTCATAATATCCTGATGCTGAGCTACGACAATTTCTTCTCGATAAAAAGCTGTCCCCGCCTCTGTTCATTACCCAAAATTCACTAATTAACTTTTTAAATATTTGCCTAACATTCCAATTGAAGATCTGTTGTCTATCAACAAAATTTTTTGTACCTGTTGTTACAGTGAAACCCGTTTATAACGAACAGCAGAAAACGCTACGATCAGTTTGATACAACAAGTAGTTCGATATAGCAAAAACCATTTACAACGAACTTCCACGATGCGTTCGTTGTAAGGCGAGAGCTTCTCTTTCTTTCTCATATCTTCACTTCCGTTTTGTAACAATGCGCTGGAAATTTTTTTCCTCTTTTTTTTTTTCATGCGTGCAGGGTGTGCTGTTCTAGCTTATCTTCCCCTTTTTGAATTGCTTCTCTTCACTCAATTTTGTTCGCAACTTGAGCTTTTGGAATTTTCTTTCTTTCCTACTTCTTTTACAGTGGAGCTGTTAAGGGCAAGGTTCCCCAGGATCGTGTCTGGTATGAAACGCCTGTCGACAAAAACCCACCTGGACAGCTACCGCCAACTATAAGCGACGGCGGCAACCTTTCCAGCTATCATAGAAGAATGGATAGTTGGGCGCGTTGGTGGGAATTCATTATAGGAAACAGCACGAAAAACAGACGACGACAAAGAAGAAGCACACATAACGAACGCAGCGCTCGTCACGTGTGTTTCTTCGTCCTCATCTGTTTTGCGCGCTGTTTCCAATGCTCTTATCAGTTTCGGTTTGGACTTAGGATGGGTCGGCCGCGCGCTCTTTCGGGGAAAGAAGACTGGTTGCGGAAGAAGCAGTGACGTATGCAGCAGCGTGAATGGTCCACCACCGCCGCAAAGCCGCTGTCACCTCGACTTTTACTGCGTCGAGCGCTTCCCGGGGGAAAAAGCCTTCCCAGGGGAAAAAGTTTGATATAGCCAATATGTTGTTCGCTATAAAAAGTATGTTTTACATGCATTTTTATTTAAATTTTCCGTGAATTCGATATCGACAATAATTCGCTGTACGTGGGTTTGTTCTAAGGAGGTTTCATTGTAGAACTCGAACAACTGAATTTAGTTTTCTGAATTCTTATGGCATATTTTGACGACGGGTAACAAATCTTCAATGGTGATGTGCCAGATTACACAATCATAATGCAAAAGTTAATTTGTATATTTTATGTAATTACCTCGTTTATCGACACTTTACACTCATACCCTGATGTCTGCTGTGGTCGATAACATCATCCCCAAGGAATTTCTTGTGAACTTAAGTACACTTTTCTTACAAATCGATTTCAATCATACGTGAAACATCCCTATCACTATCACTGTTTATTTGCTACTCTTTTCACCTCTCAAACGTGCACAAGCTGGCACATACTCTGCTCTGATGCAGACAGAGCAGTTGCACATACAACCCACACTTGTGATGCCTGTCCGATCTTTTCAATATATTTTTAGGTAACGAGCACTCCACCATCGTAAAACAATTTCAGGTGCTGTGAAATCCCTAGTTTTGTATCACCCTGTAATGTCTCAAATGAACAAAATTTAATGCAAAAGGTTTTGAGTGACAAGTCTTGTCGGAAGAATCATCCAAAAATATTTGTCGCTATAGTCAGTTACAGGTTAAGAAGGTAGCGGCAAATGCCCCTCAAAGGGAATTAGATATCTCTCCGCCACCTCCGCAACCAATAGCGTCCCACCGTTTCCGTGACGTCGCGGCCAACGCGCGAGGAGGGTCTTGCCTTTCTGTACATATTTGCTTTATCTTTCGACTTTGACTTAGCATTGTGGAAGCCACGAGAGGGAGATTAGAGTTCTCCCCCACCGACGGAAACAAATACGACTTTCAGGGGCTCGGTTCCCTCTCCGATGAATACAAAGGTCGCTTTCTTAAAAAGTGGGATCAGAGACAAGTGGGAATCCATTGAAGCGGAACAAGGAGCGTTTCCAGTGAACTCTTCTTTCGACTGCGGAGAGATTTGAAACGGGCGCATCACACTTGTGGGAGGAGCTTCTCCTACCTTCTTGACTTGTAACCGACTATAGCTGATGTCCATCAACCAGTCGCACCCATGAAGTAGTTTTACAAACTGTGTTCAGAAGACATTTATGCAAAATGAACACTTAGAGATCAATCTCACCCTGAAAATGTTTGGGATGTATTAAGAAAAGGCTTGGCCTAGAAGCTGCACCCTTGAAATGTGCTTGAGAACTTGAAGGCCCATGATAAAATTATAAACTTTCTATTATCAAGTTAAGAAGATTGCAATTTCTGTGCAGTGAAATTGTTGTTGGAGCACTTAACAACAATGTTTCTCTATACCAGTGGTTCTCAACCATTGATGTTTTTCAGACCCCTTGTGGTTTGGCGGAGATGATGGAGGACCCCGTTCGTGGTGAGGGGAAAGGAAAGGCATAAGATAATTATAATAATGATTTATTAAATGAATATAATTAAGGGCTAGTGAGAAGCAGACTTCTCTTGCTGACATATACACCAGAAAACTAACTCGAAAATTGAGACGTTTCTTTTCAATCTAAGAAAATACAACTTTTATTGCCGGGCTTGAGTGATGAGGTTGGGGTTTGCTGACCCCTAGAACGCCTTTGCGGACTTCAAAGGGTCTGCGAACCCCTCTTTCAGAACCACTGCTCTTTAGCTCCAAACTTTTACACTTCAAAAATATAGTTAAAAGTCACAATGTAATGTTACTTTGAAATACAGTATCTAGGAGCTGGAATATAACGAGATGACCTCCCAGCTTCAAAATATAAAAATAATAAATGAGTTTACAATATCGTAAATCCAGATCTCTAAACTTTTTTTCAGTCCACTCCTTGCATGCATTTCTTATCTAGCTGCTAGAAAAATAAGTGGGGATCAGGTGATGAACTCTCTTGAACCAAGGACGATTCTCACAAAAATTCATGGTATGTCAAAGGTTCACCTTGAAATAGAGGAAAGAATGGAACATAATTTCATGTCGATGTACATAACAACATTCATTACAAAAAAAAATATCATATCAGTACTGCAAGTGTCTGAATCGGCATTACTAGCAACAACATTTTTCCAGAGCAACATACAGCTTTACTAAGCTCAGAATATTAGTCGACTACACTCAAGATACTCGCCTAGTAAAAATAAAGAATACTCATCTAGCAAAGATTTGCTTTTGTAAACTGATCTTACCATGGGAGGGTTCTATGGCAGTGGTCACCGTTTCTAACCAAAATGTGCACATGTGAAGACCCCAGAATGCTAAAGAAATTTGTGGCCACACACCGACAAAATCGTCGTAGCTAGAACAAGTTCTTAGGTCGGTGAGTCCTGATCCAATCGTTTCTGCACTAGACTCGCAGTGTAACTTCCGACAAGAATGTTATTGGTTGTCATTAGGGTCAGATGATTGCTTAGGCCAGCCAATGGGAGTTGTATGCTGTCCATGACTGTGGTATTATGTCACACGACTAATGGCACCCCTAATCATGTGACTAATGACATCACAAGACACATTATAATAACATCACTAGCCATGTGACATTATGCCATGATTAGTCACATGACCTGATGACGCCATGTCCCTTTTGCGTCTCACTTCTGCGTCTTGTGCTTTCACCAAGTTACCATATTTACTCGAACCTAGCATGAGTTCTCTTAGTATTTTTTTGTTACCCCGATGTTGCCCCTCGCGTTATAATCGAGTGACCACAAAATGGCCTCAACGGTGCAGCCATTTTGAAATAATGGCAATTTTCGGAGTTCAAGCGGTTGTTCAGCCTTATGCTGGCAACATATACCTACCTATATGTAAAATAACACCCATCGAATCCAGATCCAAATCTATTAAAATGTTGTAAAACTGTCATTCTTTTTTCTGGTTGTTCCGACGGATTTGTTCGACCTCGTGTTTTTCCTCTCATGTTTCCACGGTGTCCAACATTTTTGCAAGAAATCAATGGCAGCGCAACGTGCGCAGTTCGAGGCCAGATTCAAGAATAAGGCAACTTTGATGACCGAAGAGCTGAAAAACTTTGCCGCTGCTAGGTGGCTGGACGTGAACAAACACACAATTTGCGGGTAGGGGTGCCAGCAGGAGGTGCTCTTCAAACGTGAACTAGACCGGAAAGTCTTTCGTGGACCTCATCGTGGCCTTCACTGGGATTTGGAAAAGAAATTCCCGGAGTTTGTCACTGACGAGGATCGGGCCTCGACACCCCCGGAAGGAATCAAGCAACCGCGAGTTTTGAAAATCGCTGAATATGTGTCTGCTGCGTGGCACAGCCTCCCAGATGGCACAGTTGCTTGTGCCTTTAAAAAGTGTTAGATACTGAATGACTTCCGTCAGTGTTGGCCACCATCTCTTTAAAAGAAAGGTACTCTTTTAGTCCTCCATCTTTCTTTTCTTTTTTTTCATGGGGTGTAACGAAAACTACAATTGCACTACAATTGTGGTCGCGCTAGAATTGAGTAAATATGTTACCTATGCCAAAAACATATTCTACATTAATAACTACTATACTACTTTGTTAAAGACAACTAAGCCAAGTTTTTGGGTTCAAAGAGACAGTACGCAAGCCCATTAAAAGACAACTCCAACCAAGAAATGAGCTGTAACTAGAGCTTCGGGAAAGCGAAGTGCTTCAAGGAGCTGCGCAACAATTTCAGGGCTTTGCTTAAATTATTGTGGAAGTTGATGCCCGACACTTCTGAAGAAAACAGATTTTGCCTGGGTACCCTAGCTTTTATTTAGAAAAATAAAAAAGATCCAGGTTTTTGCCGCCTCTCAACTCATACGTCGTCTTCCGGGTCACGTGCGCAGTGATGTTGAGGGGGTAGGCGCGGGGTTCCGGAAAACTTCTCTCTTTAGAGCCATCAGTGAGCAGCAAGGACTCAGACGCTCGCGACCGCGTGACCACGTGCTGGCGGGTGCCGTGCGAACAATATGGTGAAAGGAGGAAAGTCTCATCCGGGTCCGGCCATAGCCCGTCCGGCCGTGTCCCCCTCCTCCTTTGGCTTCTGGCGGCTGTTTACGGTAGCAGAGAAAGCTGACGGTTTTGTGGACCTAGGATAGATGGTGCCACTAAACTCCGTATAATAAAAGTTTTGTCGTTGATACCAGGTTTTTAATGCATTTATATTTATGTTGGAACGACAAGATTTATAAAAAAAGTTACCTTTTATTGAGCAGGTATTCGCACAACTTTATCTTTCCACAAGACCCCCCATTGACATCACGCCGCGTGTTTCTCATGGCCGCCGCTCGCGGCTGCAGGTCGGGGAATATTCTAGGTTTTGCCTCGCTATTATGCGGCGGAGTCGACACATTTCGATGAAAAGAGGTGTGTTTTCTGTCACTTGTGACAAGGTGAACAATATCAAAAGCAGAAGATGCCAATTCTTTCAACGTTAAAATCGTTGCACAGCTCCTTTCAGGAAAGTCTCAGGAATTTCAGAAAAAGGTACCTCGTAGCCAAAGGTGGCCGCCATGACGAGAATGAGGAACCCGAAGAAGGCTTCCAGCTTCCGCAGGCCATACTTGTCCAGCATCAGGAAGGTGAAGGTGTCCAGTATGGTGATTATGACCCCGGCGTACAGCGGCACCCTGGGTGGCGCAAGAACGGCTGTAGAAGGACTTGTCAAAGTGGTGACTGCGGCAGCATGCAAAAGATTCCTTTACCGAAAGACCTTAGGAACGTGCGGATTGCTGCAGGAGGCATAGGAAAGACCAAGATGGCACTTAAAAAGTGGTATTTTTGGCTCGTGCCAACACAGCATTTCGAGAGAGCACGCCGTCATGTCTGTGTCCTTGATAGCACCACTACACACAAGCTGGGGAATGCATCGATGAGAGGAGAAAAAAAGCAGCAACGAGAAACAAATAAAAGGACATCTACATGAAACAGCAATAATGAATACTACAGTTAAGACACTAAATATGAATACAGTAAACTTTCATTAGTTCGACCTTGGTTAATTCGAATTTTCGTTTAATTCTATCGTGTTCAAAAGTTCCGGCGAGTGCCCATACATTTCTATGGGAGGAAAAGTTGGATAGCTCGAACCTTGGGAAGACTCCGCATTCGTCCCGAGCGAATGCGCGTGGGCTCACAATGCATGGCACCACGGCAGAAAGACCCCCAACGTACGGCGAAACACGGGCCCTTTTCTGCAAAGCTGAATGTGCGCAAATATGCGCCTGCTCCTCTACGCCGTTGAGATGGATCGTAGCGAATGACATGAGCCAGCGCAACCCATCTGGCATGGAGTAGTGCGGAGAACATGGCACATGATCGGGCGCGGAGACAGGTGTGCTTCCAAAGCGCTTTTCTGTAGCATTGTGTACGGTCCATCTTGCACGCCGAAAGCGCAAATTCTCTTTTCCTCTTTTAAATTTTTTTTTTTTTTTTTTTGTTGACGGTCCGGCCGCACGGCGCCAAAGTCGGCTCGTAAAGCTTTCTCAGCGAGAGCTCTCGAAGTGCTTTGCTGTAGGATTGTGTGCGGACCGGGCCATCTTGCGCCGAAAAGAAAAAATTCTCGTTTGCTTTTTTTTTTTTCTTTGTCGTTGACGGTCTGGCTGCCTGGCGCCAAAGTCAACTTGTAAAACTTATTTTTCGTTTCTTTTTCTTTTTTTGTAGTGCGCAATTGTTCACGAACGTGATGTTTCGTCACAATGGACTCCGGAGCACGCTTTTGGACGCGCATTTTAAGCGCAGACGGCAGCAGACGATCCGTGAGTACCTTGGACAATAAAAGGAAGTTATTTTAACCATTTTTCTGTATTTTTTTTAATTCGATCGTTCGGATAATTCAACCAAAATTCAATGTACCGTCGAGGTCGAATTAACGAAAGTTTACTGTATCAATTTACACACGAAAGAATAAAAAAACAGGACGGAACACAGACCACACCTTTCAACTAGCAACAAACAAGAATGAAACAGAACCACCCCCCAAGGGCATCAACCAATCTCGTAAGAAAAGGGAAAAAAAATTGTTGAAGGAAGGGGAAATGTCAGAGGGAGAAAAGAGATAAAAATAAAAATAAAATACATTCATTTTGTGTTTTGAAAATGAGACTAAAAAAAAAAACTTTTAGCCTTTCCACTTTCGTGAAGGAAGACCAGCGAAGCTGTGCTATGGTGGGAATGAAGTAATGGCCGGTCGCAGGTCGGCAAGCCAGAGTGGAAAGGCTCGAAAGGTTGCGCCATCTATGAATGATGGCAGCAAGCAGACAACCAGAAAAGTACAACACTCTGGACAGCTACCGCCATCTATGAGCGACGGCGGTAACCAGCGTTTTGTGTCGACATTTTCTTGCAGGGGACTCGATCCTAGAGAAACTAGCCTTTAACAGCTCCGCTGTAAAAAACACAGTATCATGCTGGTGTGTGGAGCAGTCAGGAAAGTTCAGGTACTATAAAGAATTCAATTTCTGTCTTCTTTCCCCCCAAATTTGTTCTTGAGACCCCCTAGAATTCTGGTATTGAGAAAGCAAGGTATGCAGTCATTACACGTGCGGCCGTGAACAATGATGGGGAGAAAGGACTTATATGATGTCTTTGAAGCCTTCAGGTTACGTTCCCCGAGTCAACGGTTGACATAACTGGCCTGTTTGACCAATGTACTGGCTCCCACAGCTAAGGGGGATCGAGTAAATCTCCTTGGCTTTATACTTAACACACTAGTTGCCATGTGTGACACTGCCCCCTTGGTATTATAACTATCAAAGAAAATTTTATAAAATAGTTATCTATATTTAGCTGCTCTGGTACCAGTAGATTAGTGAGTCAGGATTAGTTATCTTGAATTTACCGAGTCTCTGTTTGTTTACCGTAATTTTCCTTTCCCTCTTGATTTTTGTCGCCTCGGTGGCTCCGAGGCGAGAGCGCCAGCCTACGGATCCCCATGTGGCGGGTCCGAATCCCGGCCGAGGTGCCCGCAATCTGACAGAGGCTTATTGCGGATCCGTGTAACCGAGCTTTCGGTTGCACGTCAAAAGATCCCCAGGTGGTCCAAATTAATCCTCAGTCCTCCGCTGGGGCGTGCCAGATGCCCGTCGTTGGTTTGGCATGTAAAACCCCCAAATTCGACTTTCCCTCTTGATTTCAGAATTTAATTGTTCACAAAGTGTATTTGTCCTATAGACAGCATAAATTATATTTTTGGATGATCTGTACTTTTTCTAGTTGCAAAGCCCACACGTAACACCCCGACAAGCATCTCGGTGTTATATATACCGTATAAAGATATGAATAAAAAAATTGAAGGGACCTTCATCATCGAAGTCTCATGATGCATGAAATGCGGTATTTCGGGAGTGATCGTTCACATTTGTCTACAAGACATTTAAACAGTCATTTCAAGAAGTGAAGAAGAACGAAATTATGGTCAGTGCGCAGGCGAGCTGGTGAAAGTTTACCGTAACGATTTTAACCCGAGATTGGGACAGAAGAAAATTTTCTTTCAGTGAAAGAAAAAGTAAACAGGGACAGACAAAGTCTTTAGAGATGCATCAGACCCCCCCCTTTTTTTTTTTCTCTTTCACTAAAAAAAGAAAAAGTTTCCTCCTTCTGCCCCAGGCTTGGGTTAAAATCATCAAGGTGAAGAAGAACCTATTGTTTGAATCGACCGGGTTAGACATTCTGCCAAATGAAATAAAGGTGCAAGAGCACTTGCTAAGGTTGACGGGATGGGGTTTGCTCGTTTTGGTCACACTGTAAGAGGACATTGTACGAAGGAAGGGGAGAGAGAAAGAAGGGGGAGATGCAAGTGGTGTCACATGCCATGAGGTGTATAGGTAATGTGACGTTAATTTCTTCGCTACATTTTGTGAGGAAACTGAACTGGTGTATCGGTCACGTGACAAAATCAATTTTGCCATTAAAATTCAGCGGCAAACAGATGGATGGAGGGACGTCTTTTCTAGACTGGGAATTGCGCTAAAAGTATTTCATGGTTAATTGTAAAACAAAAGTATGTATCTTTACGAGTGGTCTTGGCGGCTAATGTTAGTGGGGAGTCTCGACCTTGCTGCAGCTTACCGTAGCCCGATACGAGGTAAGGATGAGCGAGCGCTCATGGCCTTCCATCGCACTTTGGTAGGCATTCTCGACTCGTATCCGACTACGGCACTCCATTAGGGGTATCTGCAACAGCACGTCGAACAGCGTCCAAGAGAAAGAAGCAGCCCGCACTTTCCCCTGGAGAGGAGGAAGATGGCGATGGCAGTTCCAATGACCTCCTGCATGTCGGACCCCACGACGGCAATCTCGACCATGATCCAGAGGACAATGCGGGCGAAGCGGGGGTAGCCCCTGCGACACATCTCGGCCAGGTGGAGGCCGGTCACCACTCCTAGCCTGGCGCTCAGGCGCTGCATCATGAGCCCCAGCAGTGTGGCCGACAACAGCACCCACAGCAGCTGCGAGCGGAAGGGTGCCGACTCAATCTACTGGTAGGTTCTGCTAACTCTGACCTTGACTAGGCACGTCGACCAACTCTACCGGTGGATTCTGCTACACTTCGCTTCACCTCACGACCGACCGCAGCTTTATGCCACGAGCCATTGAAGCCAATCCGAGGCTGGGCGAGTGTTGTGCGACCTTGGAGGGAGGGCACAGTGACGGGCGGAGAGTGTATCGCGTGCTACGTTCACAGAGCCGGGTTTGCCGAGATGGCCCGTAGCTTCCGGTGTGGTTGGATGTAAGGTGAAACGGAGTATAACAGGGCGTTTCTTTAGGCTTTACAGATTTGTTTTAAGAAGCCGCTAAAGCTACCCTAATGCGATCTGTGCAGGCGAGCAATACGGCCAGGGAGACGTAATATGAAGGACGTATTGTCGCAATTAGTCGAATGATTATAACTAAACCCAGTTGATTACCTTTCTAATTAGTGGAAATGAAGATGTGGTTCTGATAAGAAACTTGCCGCGCGTCGTCAAAATCTAATGAATTGGTAAATTCTAGAAAGGTTTTGTGCATGTGGGTGGTGCAGTAAGGCACTGAAGTTACAACTCGGGCAACAGGCGCACAGCTGATGATGCAAAAAAACAGACGATAAGCAACAGGAAAACTGCGCGGGCACGCTTTTGCACCCGCAGCTTTGCGCCTGTTACGCAAGGGGTAACTTTAGCGCACCACCGTGCCTCTTATGCACTCCAAATCTCTCTGAAATTTACCAATTTTGTGGTTTTCGATGACACTTAGCAAATTTCTAATTGAAATTATGTTTATTTTCACTAATTAAAAGTTTAATTGACAAGTTTAAGTTAATTACTTGACTTACCGTGAGATTAAACCCCTATATTATGTCCCCCTGGCCATGTACCACATGCACAGACTGCATTACTGCAGCTTTCACAGCTTTTTAAAACAAATATGTTAAGCCTAAGAAAACACCTTGTATAGTTACAAAAAAAAGTTTTAAACTACAGTCCTGTTTAAACACAAGCACCCAAACAATATTTTGTACTTTGTCTTTGGTAAACTTTGGCTCCAATAAAAAAAAAAAAAACCCTCATGAACATAATTGTTCGTTCTATATTCTTTTACCCAAATCAAGAGCATGTGGCAAAACTGTTGCAATAAGCAGACAAACGTTGATATTACACCAAGTACAAAGACAAAAGAAAGAAAACATTGTGTCCAAGTGTGCAGATGCACCGAACAACAAAACGGACAAGCAGCGAGCGCCGTCAACACTTTCTAGTGTGGGGAGAGGCATTGCGCAAACAGGAGTCGCACATTGCGGCACACCAGGAACGAAGCAACTCGGAAAATGTCTGGGCGTGTTACACCCGCCAGGCAGCTGCAACAGCTGTCCAGTCGTCTCCTGCACATTGCAGTGGCAAGCAGGTGTTCCCGCACATTTCAATCGGGTCGTGAAACCCCCCCCCCCCCCCCCCCCCCCCCCTTTTTTGCAGGGCGGTACCGAGAAAATGTGGAAACGGAAAGAATGATGAAAGTCATGCACTACGTGATTCATAATAAAAAAAAAAAAAAAAAAAGACAAAGAAGTTTTATTTAAAAAAGCAGCTGTGGAGAGGAAAGAAAGAAACCAGAAAAAGAAAATAAGATTTGGAATCGAAAACTGGTTTAACATATAGGACGGAATGCAAGCTCTGAAACTTCACTGCACTTGCTTTTCCATGAACTGCAGTTGTCTCCCTTCCTGTCCCACTTACTACTGGGCAATGCACATACACTACCGTGCGTGCCATGCATTTCATACCAACCGGTGGTGTTCAAAGCGCAGTTTTGTGCTCCGAGCAAACGTAAAGGTACAAAAAGGGAATTAATAATTCTTTGGGCATTTCCTGCAGGACGACAGAAATGCCATTCACAAGCAATTTGATTTGAATGGCCCCGCTATCGGCGAGTTTTTAATATGCAGGAAAGAAAGACGCTGCTAAAACATTATTTCTCACCCTTATATCGTAGCATGGAGTACAGAACGAAAATGCAAATTTTGTTACATTATGTCCGATTTATAATGCAAATATGTTTACTTTGGCTGCACAATGTGACGTGAAGGCAAGCCTTTCTAGGACAATTTCTGTTCAACTGCAGTCTCTTCTAGGCTTCATACTTCCTTTTGAACGCTACGCAGTTGACCGAAATATCCCTGGGAGACTTTTACTCACCCTGTATTCAGCGAGAGCGCCAGACTGAAGGTCGGACTCAATGTTCCCTGGGTCCAGGTATGCTATGCTCATGAGGAATCCAGGGCCTGTGAAGGCCCAGAGTTTCCGGAAGCTGAACCTAGTCTGAAAATGTTCAGGAATGACTTCAATAAGCACCAAGCAACCTTAAATGGGGGGCAGTTTCCCCGCAGCACAGCTAACTTGGCACCCGACCAGTATGCCACATGTTAAAACATTATTTTTACCTACCGTAACATCCCGAGATATAGCCTCCCTAAACTCAAGAGCAAATAGGGTAAAATAAGAAGTAGGCTAACTTTCAAAATGCAATCAAAAAAAGCTAAAAAAAAAAAAAAAAAGTATTCTACGGTAGTTCACATCCCAGCTTGCGCTTGTAGTATGCACGACAAGAAAACACTAGAGAGACCATAAAGGATGTGCACAAGGTATGTCAGTATAGCCAAAGTTATCTCTGTCAGCGTTGGGAAGGAGATTCAACCACTGCATCTAAAGCGGCTAACTTTTGGAACTACACTTCTGGGGACGACAATAACGATGGCGCAGCGCTCCGCCACCCCAACTGAACACTGTGACCGGCGTTCGGCTGGGTTTCGTGTTCTCCCCGCTGCCCCAGGAGGGGATCTTTTGTAGTCACTGGGACTGCATGAACGATGCAGCATGCACTGTGCATGTGACCAGCACCTGCTCGGCCCAAAGGCCGAAGTGGGTCAAGCTCGCATCCTCTGACAACTGCTTTCAGGAGAGATCCGGCTTGTCGCCCATCTGCCGACGTCACTCCGTTTATTGCAAACACAGGCCTTGTGTTGGGTAAACACCAAGCTTTGGGAAAAACAGACTGGAAAGGGAGCACACAGTCTAAGTTTGATCTCCTTGCCAATAGCCACAGTTAGCCCCTAATGAATGCATAAAGGAGCAAGGAATTATTAAAGACAGTAAATATTGGAAGCGGTTACTGTTTCATAAAACAACACATTCGGAGTAATAAGAAAATAATGCATTACTTTCAAGCTGAGGTAATGCATCTCATTTTAATTGCAACAATGAGTAAAATATTTGGTTACCTTTTGAGTAACAAATAACAAACTTTAGTAGAAGTTAAAGCAAGTAAAGAGGAGAGCTGGTTGAGGATAGACATGATACTGTCAAGACCGGTTATAACGAAGTCGGTTAAAACGAAGTAGCGGCTACAGCGAAGCGATCACGATCTCCCTTTCCCTTTTGCATTTCTTTAGAACCAAAGTTGGATATAGCGAAATAGCGGATATAGAGAAGTGATTTCCGATTCCCATCGAATTCGTTATAACCGGTCTCGACAGTAACCCTTCTTGTTCCCTCGCTTTAGGGTTACCATGTTGGTTTTGAGTTACTTCATTTCAATAATGTGTACACGTTTGTTTAGCACACAGATGAGCTTTACAGTGTCTTCACGTTACGTAAATTCAACATTTTGTTGTTAGATGTCGGCATGACGAAACCCACGAGCCCCTGCGCTCCTCAAATTTTATGATGTCATATGAATCCTTAGAATGCTCGCCTTCAGCACACGCCAGACAGCTTATAACACAATGGTGGATATAATAATGCCAATGAAAACACCTGATACTCCGTTTCACTTAAAGTGCAAGATTAGCAGAAGCTACAAGAGTGAGCTTTCGGCGTCCATGCCAAGTGCAGCTGCTCGTGCAGTGCAAGCATAGTTCAGAGGAACATGCTCATACCGGTAGGTCATGCTTTGTAACTGTAAAGCAGAACAAACAAGCCCAGGAATTTTCCACCCTTCCTGAACAAAACAAAAGCAGCATGCGCCAACCTGATATATCTTCCTGAGCCGCTTCATGAGCAGATGTACTGTTAGACAACCTATGAAACATGCCAGCCACACTGGCAGCTTCTACAAACTGTGAATGAAGTGTAAGCAAACCAACATCCTCCCATTTTATTTTCACCAGTGCCAGAAGTACTCTCATCAAAAATATGAGTTGGAGAGGTATAATCTCGGACATCACCTTGGACATTAAAGTTTGGTGTTTGGCATCCACATGCAATGAGTATAATGTGACAAAGCACTAATGCCCCACTCAGCCCAACTGCACAGAGCGTAGTACAGCCAGCTGTAATTATCTGATCAATTGTTCTCCTTATTTTTCTCGCATGTTCCAAAGGCTGGCCGCTGAAACTAGGTACTAGTGCAACAAGAGTGCACCACTTCTGGTACCTGATTAAGGAAAAAAATATTCTCTTGAAAACTATTGAATATAACTTCGGCTCAGAAAAGCGCCAATCGTGCGAACTATGTCTTGTATACCACATATTGTAGTAGTATGAGCTTCGGGCAAATAACAAACTCCCCCTAGAGAACCAGAGGAGAAACTCACGTCTTCCATGAATGGGATGTTGACCTGCTGCTGGAAGTAGGCCTGATCGGACGGCGTGAAGATCTTCCGCCCAGAAGGGGGCGGACCTTCTGTCCCATTGATGCTGTCATATGTCCGCAACCCATGGTCCCCTGCAACAAACACACGTGAGCATAACAGAAAGTGTTTGCAGGGAGTAAAATAGTTATTTTAGTTTTCGATGCTAAAGACTAACAGATAATAAAGCCCATCATTTTGCGGGGGGATCGGTGGCCGATCGGATGTATTAGTGCACTAAAGTATTAAGGTGGGTGGCTTGATGGTTCAACATACTAAATATGTAAAGTGAGAGAGAAAAAAGGCGACATAACGAAGACAGGACAGCACTATATTCCCAACTGCTATTTTAATAAAAATTCTAAGGAAGAGAAGAAAGTGGTGGGAAAAGTTATACAGAAGACCAAACAAACAAAAATGAAAGAAAGAAATGAAAGGAACACAATAAATCAAACCAAATGCAGTGATAAATTACCCTAATTTTTTTAATAAAGACATTATCAAAGGCATTATATTAAAAACATTGAACATAAACAAAAAAGAAATGCTAAAAAAAAAAAATTACCCTTCAAAAGTTATTTTAAGATAACTCTGAAAGAAAAAGTTTAAGAAAAAACATCCACAACTTACGGGAAAGAGTTGAGCACGTTGGTTAAACATATTTAGGAAGCACCAGCTCAACAAACCAAGCATACAAATGTGAGGAGAACGAGAAAGACACATTTAACCACTGGACTGACTACCAACTGCATTTAATGAAACACTTCATCTTCATTGACAGGCTAGGATCAATCAAACGGGAGGCACTCACTTGATCGAATGACGTTTTAGCGAACGCCCACGTGTCATCGAACGACACTTTAGCGAATAGTCGGATGCCGCGAAGCGGCGTTTTCGGGTGGGCCAAGTGAATTCATATTTTTGTAATGAGTTGCCGTAGACTGTCGCCGCGAAGCGGCGTAAAGCGCAGCGCGACGGATGGGTTAACGCGCGCCCCCGTTATTCGCTAAAACGACCATTCGCTCAAATGTCGCCGTTCGCTAAAATGTCATTCGCTCTTGTGATATGGACCCCAATCAAACCTAGCTTGCTTCACTTCTTCCTTTTTTTCTTCATCTTTAAACTAGGGCATCCTGCTTGACTGTCTACTTGTGGGCGGTACTTCCACCTCGCCAGAGAAGAGAGGACGTTCTTACGAGGTGAAAGTATTGCCCACAAGTCAACAGACGAGCAGGATGCCCTAGTTTATAGATGAAGAAAAAAATGACCGCATCTCGACATGGTGAATGATGTTGATTGGGGCGCAGCTCTGGTGGTGCTGATGATACTGATTTCATTGTTCATGGGTAGTGCTGATGGTTCTGATTTTGTTTATTTGTTAACGCGATTTATTTTTATTTTTTAACACAATTATATACGCATTTCACTGCAGCGCCCTCTCCTGTATAGACGTTGAGCGGCTACATGCAACGTTTCATCCACGACATCCCCAGCTCTTGAGTTACTACATCTCAGAGCCCCCTACTCGTCCCGCAGTCGTGGCCGAGTGGTTCGCGCGATGGACTAGAAATCCATCGGGGTCTCCCCCGCACAGGTTCGAATCCTGTCGACTGCGCAAACATTTTTTTCTTTTTAGGGGCGAAGCTCCTTAGGGGCTAGCCATGTCCGTATGTCCATCCACCGTCGGGTGCACGTGCTCCTGCTCATGAGCTCACGCGCTCGGGTGCTCACGAGCACGTGAGCACATGCTCGTGTAGGGCAAAACAAAAACAACCGCATCTCCACGTGGTGAATGATGTTGATTGGGGCGCAGCTCTGGTGGTGCTGATGATACTGATTTCATTGTTCATGGGTAGTGCTGATGGTTCTGATTTTTTTTATATGTTAACGCGATTTATTTTTATTTTTTAACACAATTATATACGCATTTCACTGCAGCGCCCTCTCCTGTATAGACGTTGAGCGGCTACATGCAAAGTTTCATCCACGACATCCCCAGCTCTTGAGTTACTACATCTCAGAGCCCCCTACTCGTCCCCCAGTCGTGGCCGAGTGGTTCGGGCGATGGACTAGAAATCCATCGGGGTCTCCCCCGCACAGGTTCGAATCCTGTCGACTGCGCAAACATTTTTTTATTTTTAGGGGCGAAGCTCCTTAGGGGCTAGCCATGTCCGTATGTCCGTCCACCGACGGGTGCACGTGCTCCTGCTCATAAGCTAACGCGCTCGGGTGCTCACGAGCACGTGAGCACATGCTCGTGTAGGGGAAACAAAAACAACCGCATCTCCACGTGGTGAATGATGTTGATTGGGGCGCAGGTCTGGTGGTGCTGATGATACTGATTTCATTGTTCATGGGTAGTGCGGATGGTTCTGATTTTTTTTATTTGTTAACGCGATTTATTTTTAGTTTTTAACACAATTATATACGCATTTCACTGCAGCGCCCTCTCCTGTATAGACATTGAGCGGCTACATGCAAAGTTTCATCCACGACATCCCCAGCTCTTGAGTTACTACATCTCAGAGCCCCCTACTCGTCCCCCAGTCGTGGCCGAGTGGTTCGCGCGATGGACTAGAAATCCATCGGGGTCTCCCCCGCACAGGTTCGAATCCTGTCGACTACGCAAACATTTTTTTCTTTTTAGGGGCGAAGCTCCTTAGGGGCTAGACATGTCCGTATGTACGTCCACCGTCGGGTGCACGTGCTCCTGCTCATGAGCTCACGCGCTCGGGTGCTCACGAGCACGTGAGCACATGCTTGTGTAGGGCAAAACAAAAACAACCGCATCTCCACGTGGTGAGTGATGTTGATTGGGGCGCAGCTCTGGTGGTGCTGATGATACTGATTTCATTGTTCATGGGTAGTGCTGATGGTTCTGATTTTTTTTATTTGTTAACGCGATTTATTTTTAGTTTTTAACACAATTATATACGCATTTCACTGCAGCGCCCTCTCCTGTATAGACGTTGAGCGGCTACATGCAACGTTTCATCCACGACATCCCCAGCTCTTGAGTTACTACATCTCAGAGCCCCCTACTCGTCCCGCAGTCGTGGCCGAGTGGTTCGCGCGATGGACTGGAAATCCATCGGGGTCTCCCCCGCACAGGTTCGAATCCTGTCGACTGCGCAAACATTTTTTTCTTTTTAGGGGCGAAGCTCCTTAGGGGCTAGCCATGTCCGTATGTCCGTCCACCGTCGGGTGCACGTGCTCCTGCTCATGAGCTCACGCGCTCGGGTGCTCACGAGCACGTGAGCACATGCTCGTGTAGGGCAAAAAAAAAACAACCGCATCTCCACGTGGTGAATGATGTTGATTGGGGCGCAGCTCTGGGGGTGCTGATGATACTGATTTCATTGTTTATAGGTAGTGCTGATGGTTCTGATTTTTTTTTATTTGTTAACGCGATTTATTTTTATTTTTTAACACAATTATATACGCATTTCACTGCAGCGCCCTCTCCTGTATAGACGTTGAGCGGCTACATGCAACGTTTCATCCACGACATCCCCAGCTCTTGAGTTACTACCACACCTCAGAGCCCCCTACTCGTCCCGCAGTTGTGGCCGAGTGGTTCGGGCGATGGACTAGAAATCCATTGGGGTCTCCCCCGCACAGGTTCGAATCCTGCTGACTGCGCAAACATTTTTTTCTTTTTAGGGGCGAAGCTCCTTAGGGGCTAGCCGTGTCCGTATGTCCGTCCACCGTCGGGTACACGTGCTCCTGCTCATGAGCTCACGCGCTCGGGTGCTCACGAGCACGTGAGCACATGCTCGTGTAGGGCAAAACAAAAACAACCGCATCTCCACGTGGTGAATGATGTTGATTGGGGCGAAGCTCTGGTGGTGCTTGTCTGCGTAGATGCCGAGCCGCAGCATGCCGAGCCTTTCATTCGTTTTCATCCATGTCAGAAAGAGAATGTGTGGTATGGAACATGGTTATATACGCATTTGAGCATTTGACCGCAGCGTGACATGGATGAAAACGAACGAAAGGCTCGGCATGCTGCGGCTCAGCGTCTACGTTGACAATCACCACCAGAGCTTCGCCCCAATCAACATACTTAACCACGTGGAGATGCGGTTGTTTTTTTTTTTTTTTTTTTTAAGAAGACAGATGGGATGGCAGTCGATGTGAGCGCGGACGCCGGTCAAGGCTAAACCCTAAGGAGCTTTGCCCCTAAAAAAGGAAGAAGTGAAGCAAGCTAGGTTTGATTGATCCTAGCCTGTCGATGAAGATGAAGTGTCTCATTAAATGCAGTTGATAGTCCAGCGCTTGAATGCGTCTTTTTCGTTCTCCTCACATTTGTATGCTTGGTTTGTTCAGCTCGTGTCTCCTAAATACATCCACCAAACTTTGTCCGACGAAACAGAAGGGACGGGGGTGTCAGGTTTTCTAGTTTTGGTGGATGATCTTCTAAAACTTCTTTCAAAGTTTTTGAAAAGTAATTTTTTTGTTTTTCTTCAGTGATTTATTTTTCATTTATTGTCTTTAATTAATGCAATTTTTTTTATGGTCATCTATCGCTGCATTTGCTTTAATTTATCCTGTTCCTTAGATTTTTTATTTCCATTTTGTCTCTTTTGTCTTTTGTAAAGTTCTCAGACTTCTTTCTTCCCTTCCTTCGATTTTTTATAAAAATACAAGTCACGAGTATAGCGCTGTCCTGTCTTCTTCATGTCCTTGTCTGTCTCTTGCGCTTTATGTATTTATATATTCAGTGTTCGTGCATCGTAGCTCAGAGCACGTGGAAGGAAAACTTGCGCTGCAGGACCCAGAGATGTTGGATTCAATCCCCACACCTGCCCGTTGCGATCTGGATGAGCACCATACTGTTGTGCGGGTGTGTGTCAGTGCCACATGATGCACGTTAAAGACCCCAGGCTAGCAGTCATACAACACTGCCAAAATTTTTCATCTGCAGCACAGACACCAAATGCCCACTGGGGCCCACTAACCTTCCACTGTCTAAACAAACACACATCACATTTATCATCACTTTGCGTGATTTTGCTGCATTACCTTGAAAGTGGGTTACATTTGTTAGTTTGAAAACAATAGAACAAAATGTGCTGGGACCATCAAGTTTCATCGAGATTCCACATCTTGCTTCCCCCTTTCAGAGAGTAAATGTCTTTGTCTCGTGAGAAATTTTCGATAAAATATTCCCTGCTACAATCAATAGGCTTTAACAAGCTTCAGATTTGGGAATGCTCCATAAAACTGAAGGAACCGAAAGCCATTTTAGAAGTTAAACTACGCTACTTAAACTGCCGTGAAAACGCAGTTGTGTAATGTTTATGCGAACATTATAATACACATAGTCTCATAGCTGAAATTGACAAAAAGAAGGTGTGTGACGGGTAAAAATACCTCTCTTGCACAGAAATGTTCAACTGTCTCTTCAGTCAAAAATAGCAATGCTTTGTGTGAGCTTCATGATGCAAGAAATTGTGTGCAAAAAACGAGGACAAAATATATAATATGCACAAGAGACAAGTGTCTGTCTGTGGTGTCTGTTTTCCCTTTTGTTCTCAGTTTTTGCAAGCTTTTATACATTGAGAATCATCATTAACTAGGTCAGCTTTCAACCGTTCTGTGGTTCATATGAGCTGTACGGTTCCTGAGGATTTTTAATCCAATCAAGTATGACGTGATGTGACCCAGTGCCCGCTTATTTTTTTTTTACGCTCTGTTTAAATGGAACAGCATACACAATCTGCATGATGCTCCAGTTGTTCAATGCTATTACTGATAATTCGCTGCCTCAAGGAAAAAAAAGAAACTAAATCAAAGACAAAACTATAGTTCTCTGGCTACCCCCGAGATGGCGCGACGTGTTTTAGCGCGACGAATTTTGATTTTGGTAGTACGTAAAATTCATCGATCACAGGTGATCAATGACTTATGGGCGCGGTAAGGAAAGAGTTAATGTAGCACTGCTTTGTTTTCCAATCAACTACCATACTTAACCGATTCAAAGAAGTAGCTTCTCTAAAAATTACCTACCCATTCGAATCAGATACAAAATCCACATCAGGGGAAAGTTAGAATCACCATTTTCAGTTATAAAACCTGGGTTAGAATCAGGTAAATATGGTCACATCACTGCTGCTGCTTTAAATTGCAGAAATTGGCTTTAATAAATAAAACAGCCAACTTCAAAAGGCCTTGCAGTCACATAAAGGGAATTGCTCCAGTACAAACCCAAAAGTGACAATTTGTTCTAGAACAAAATTCATGGTGCATAAAATATGTGGCATTTTTGTCATTGTATATAAACTCTAATAGGAAATAAGAAAAAATATGCAGATGAATAAACCATACTATTTCAATGGGAAAACTGTTACGAAGATGCCCAAAGACAAGATCTTTGGCGGCGGTGGTGTTCCAACTCCAGAACTCCGGAACAACACCACCTTGTCTAATTTCAATGTTTTCTATTTGTCTTATGAATGCACCAAAATGTATCCAATCAGAGGTGTTTGGATGCACATGCTGCAGCATGGGATGCAGTACGACAGCTGCTGGCACATGGTATGTGTTCGTTGTGCTCCAGAAGTCATCCCACTGTTTGTGTCATTACATGTGTATGCATGCCTTTTTGTTTATAAGCTTTAGAAACATGGTATCATCATCATCTGTGAGAGTCGAAAGCCACACTGCATATATCGAGGGGCATTTTCGTCATTGTATGCGATCTCTAAAGTAAAAAATAATCAAAAATATGCAAATATGCATATTTAGATATGCATTCATCAGACAGATAGGAAATGCTGAGAAGACAAGGTGGTGTTGTGCAGTGGTGAGCATACCTGATCGGTAATTACGAGAATCAGTTTCAAACCTGCCGCCACCAAAGATTTTGTCTTTTGGAGGCTATGTAACAATTACTCTATTCAATCAGTATGCTTTATTCATCTGAATAGTCTTAGTGTATATAATATAAATACCTGAACAAAGTTCACACTTCTGATGTAGTAAGGGGACATATCACTACAATATAAAAATTTGACAAAAAATCATTATCAGGTTGACCTTTACTCTCACCTCTAATTTCTTTCAGTTTATTTAAATAAACTAAAAGGTTCTTATACACGTAGCTAACTTCTGAGAGCAGTTGGCATTTATGCCGACGAGCTGACATGAGAAAGATATATCGGGCTTGGGTACGAAAAAAATAAGGCTCGACCTTTTCAGGGTCTATAAAAATGTCGCAGTTCATGTTCAAGGTTAACGACCAAGCCCCTTTGGCCTTATCGCGACAACAGCACTCACTCCAGCTTTCTTGTACCATTTCTTGTGTGTCCATCCTGTTAATGCAACCTGCCTTTTTTTTTTATCTCTGGGTAATAATTGCTCCCTCTGTATCTCTGGTGCATTGCAAAAATGCAACCTGGCTTGAATGTGTAGAGGAAGAAGCTCCAATGAGATTGTTTATCAAAACGAGAATAACGGGAATCCATTATAGCTTTCCCACCAACTAATGACACAATATAATGTCAAGAACTAGACATCAGAGGTCATGTCAAGCAGAAATTATATTTCGGGAATCTTTTTTTTTTTTAGGGGGGGGGGGGGGAATGAAGGAAATTAAAAATTATTTGGCAAAAATAAAGGCAATATATATATCTTTTTAATGTGAATTAGTAATGTTTTTTTAATCTTAAAAACATTAAATTCATCAATTATTATTATTATTTTTTTTTTATTATGGTTATCCAAGTTTTACAAGCTTTCAAAACTTTGAAAATGACGATCTCATTATCGAGGGGTTTAAGAGACCTGAACAAAGCCAGGAGAGAACACAGGCAGTCCAAAGAGACACACATGTTGCATGCAAAGAAAGCATGCAATGAAGTTGCATGCATGGCATTAGAGACGGTGCCGTGGTTGTTCCCCTTTCTCGTTCCTTGTCTCGAGGTTTTTTTCACTATGATACTCTCATTTCATTGCAATGCAGTAACACTTTTTATAAAGTTTTGCTTTTTTATATTAACTACAATTCCTTCACAAAGTAAGCAGGCAATGTCTAGGTGACATCTTTTTTCGGACCCAACACGATTAACAGGTTCTAGTGGTACAGTAGTAGACACGGTAAGCTGAAACGACTGAGCAACAACCTAAATATACCGGTGGCGCTGACCCGATACGAGAAGTTGAACAAGCAAAAAGAGATAGCATGCAGACAAGATTGCAGTGGCACGCCACCCGACTCAGTCTGACCATGCTCGAGAAATGCGCGCCACCGTTGCTCTGTGCGTGCTGCTACTGGGCTCATCTGTACTTATCACTTTTGATTGTTCAGATATCTGAAAAGCGATTAAACTAGTGCTGGCACCACATGCCCAGATAACGGGCAAAAAACGTAGATAGGTGGTAGCAAAGAGTAAAGGCGAGTAAAACTGAAGTGCTCCTAAAACGGGAAAAAAGAGCAGGCAGCAATGGCCATCACATTCTCATCCACAAGCTATTTCTTTTCGCTAGTTTAACTTCTCATGCCAAGGTGGTGCCACCGGTATCTTTCGGTAATCGCTCTCTCATTTCAGCTCCCCTTGTCCACGACTGTACAGAGATCTGAATGAATGCTCATCACACGTCCTTAGAACCACCTACTTCATAACGTATGAAGCAATTCATTTGCCAGAAAAGAAAGAGTAATGTACCACTGTAACTAGCCTCTAATTGTCTCTATACCGCAGGCTGCCATTAGAGCTGTGCTGTCGGTTGAAAGTGAATCTGTAAGCTCCAACAAATATAGGCGCAAACAGGATTTTCAGAAACTGCACTCACCGGACATGGTTTGGCCGTTCAAAGATTTGTCCTCTGGCGTTGAGTCTAACACTGCAAGAGGTTTAGGAATTTTATGAGCCAAACAGAAAATGCCTGTGACAGTTTGAACAAGAACACGGTTTGCAATATACCAAATAAGTACTATAACGACAAATAAATCTAGTTCACAATAAGGGCTTGAGTGGGACAAGAAAACAGTGCGGAGCAAACAGTGAAAGCGTAACAGTTAGCACTAAATGTTTAAGTACCATAATGCCTAAGCTTCAAAATATATGGATCAAAGCTCTTTATTGCTCTTATCTGAGACTGTTACATGCACAGTTGGAGGCTTATTGCGCTAGCGTTTGTATAAACAAAGCCCGTTTTTCAATATCTAAATTCTACTAAACTTTCTAAGATAAAATTTTTCAACTTCATCTTTACACTAGGAGAAAAATGTTGGTCTTACCTTCTCTGGCCATAATGGCTTTTTCTTGTGGCCCTGTAATATCATATTGATAAACCATTACACACTGTTTCAATACCTTGTAATAACAAATGTCTTGAATGCAGATGACCGAGATGCTTTTCAAGAAGTCTGGAAGTCTTTCCCTTTCTCTTTTCCACAGGTCAACGGGAGATGGATACAAAAGACCATTTGCTAAATCCCCCAAGTGCCCTGGCCTGCACTCAAGGAATCATGGCAACAGTGTTCCTTCAGCTCCCTAGTGATCAATAATTTTGACCTTTCACATAATTACAACTTACACAGGTTTGAATGTAATTCGGAGTCGCCCTGAACGAGCATCGTATAGAGCCCAAGGACCTGTCATATCACTTTTAAAATTTCTCATCAATGTCAAGGTTTTTGATACTGCGCACACTGTCTACCCTTCAACCTGGCTGAGCAGCAGAAATCTCGTACATCATTATCATTCTCATAAAGCTTCAAAGACGCTGATATTAAGTTAGAAACGCTAAAAATGCCAAAAACAGCCCCGCTGACACTGAGCTAAATCCTGGTTTTGGTTGTTGTGAATTCTCCGCTTTTTAGGAATTTCCTGCAAAAACAACAATCACAATAATGATAATATTGTAGGAGATTTCCGCAGCTCAGCCAGATCGAAAGGTGGATTGCATGCACAGTATCGAAAACGCTGTCATTGATGAGACATTTTAGAAGTGATGCGACAGGTCTTTGGGCTCTGTACGACGCTTGTTCAGGGTGACTCCGAATCACACTCAAAAACTGCGTAACCACGGAATTGGTCAAAATTACCAACCACCGTTCCCATGATTCCTCGAGTGCGGTCCGGGGCGCTTGGGGTCCATTGCTCCTAGAGATAGTAGGTATGAAGGAGACTTTCGAGAGTAGATTAGCAAATACTAATGATCTATACTTCGTTTCAGCTTAAGTCCAGACTCAGCCAACGCTACAAACTAATGAGATCAATCAAGCAGCGTCTAAAGCGCAAGTCTCCGGGCCTTTTCCACTTATGATGGGTTCAGCGAGGATAGAGCAGTTACGAAAACATGACAAACACCATCATGGTGCACTTTTGACATTATCTGACTGGTCCCATCAGCTCATAGCATCGGCGGCACCTGGACTTAGGGTGAAACAAAGTATAGCTCACTAGCCTGCTGCTTGCGGAAAAATGAAAGTGGGGAAGAGAGGCTGATGTAAAGACTGGCTCTTCATATAAAAGAAAAGCCAGTAGCAATAGACCCTTTTCAAAAGTCAGAGCCCTCTAGTGGAAGTCTAAGAAGCTCCAATATTGCTGCTCTAATGGCAGCGATAGGAGAACAAGGTCGAGCTAATCAAGCACTCTCGACCTCGTGAATTAAAGCAATGCAAAGAACCAAGTTAGAATAAATTCTCCACTTTAGCTTTATGCTTTCAAAGACATCCACTTTCCCTGGTGTGGAGAAGCTGCATACTGCCACCATTAGAGTGCCCCATCTGTCTCTCAACAGGGTGGCTAAACTGACTTTTGAAAAAGACCTACAGGAAAACAAAATAATGAGGCTATGCAGAAGAGCCATAAAACTGTGGAAAGAAATTCTAGATTTTACATCTGTACGTTTTCAATACACCTGCTAAAATAGCAAGACTTCCTTTATCATACCTAATATACCAAATTTCCCAGTGTTAAGTCACATCTTCTAAAAAAATTTCTGTTGGTGTAATATACAGTGGTGCGACTTCCATACAGTTTTTTTTTTTTTAATATTAAGTATCAGGGTGGCCAGTTCCACTTATTATAGGCGGATTTGGGCTTCTTTTTTCACTGAGTCGCTGGTAGATTGTTTTAGCCGCTTGTCGCGTTTTTTGGGCTTATTCGTGTTTTTCCTGCAAATATTGCTATTTTAGTGCTCGTCGTGCTCACTGACAGCACGTTTGTCCTCAAAAACGTGAAAAACAGCATGACCATTTGGCGCAGCGGTTAGGTGGCGCAAGCTGCCGTCCGTCACAATGTACAAAACTATTACTATCCCTTCACAAATGTTTTGGCCCCTTGCCCATCTTGCCAGTCGGCAGTTGCGGTCGTCGTGTCTAGTAGCCATCGTATTTTGTGCAAAATGGCTTCGAAGTGGTCGAAGTATGGCAAAAGATATTGTAAAGGGTGGGGAAAAGGAACACAGCTTAAGGACTGGCTACGACCAGTCACCGAGAAGATAAAAAAGCAGCGTGCAAGTACTGCAAGGGCGAGATACGCGTTCATCATGCCGACCTCGTTCAGAACAGGGCAACAAAAAAAAAAAGTTAGGAACTTTTTGCCACTTTCCAGTGCACGTTTGACTACCATGGGCTTCACCAAGTCGTCGCCTCCAAGAACGATACCACACTGGAGCCAGTGGCGTCACAAGGGGGGGGGGGGACCGCCCCGGGTGCAGCGCTCAGGGGTGTGTCGCAGCGGGCCACGAGAGCGGGAAGGGGGGGGGGGGAGGGTGGGGTGTTGCGGCGGGCTACCGTCGTGGGTGCCGCTGACCCTCGTGACACCACTGACTGGAGCTCAAGCTGGCATGTTACTCAGCGTGCCATGCCACTGTCCGCTCTGTAGATAGTGCCATGGCACGCTGAGTATTCGCCTTCGTATTTGAGCGAGTTCTCTTTTTCATTTTATTATTAATAAACTATTTTCAAGAATGTGTACATTTATCGAACTTCCACTTGTTTTGGGCTTGTTCACGAAGGTCACGCCACTTTTTGGGCTTGTTTGGGGACGACTATCTGCTTGTTCGCTTGGCCGCATCTGGCCACCCTGTTAAGTATGGACTTTAACTGTGCCAATTTGTCGATTCGTCTCGCTCAATTTGTTAGAGAGAACATTAAAACTAGCTCCCGCTCGTGCACATACCACAATCGCAATAAACATATATGTGAGCTTGTCAGTGCAGTTTCGCAGTGCCAATTGTACAAATATATAAGTGAGACTTATAACCAACTTTTTCGTGAAAACAGCCATTTATAGGGGTTGCGAGTTATGCAACGGTGTGACTTATACAGGTAAAAATTGAGGGAGAGGAAGAGATGAGAGGGGACGTCGGGACACTGAGCTCCGGTTGAAATGATTAGCGGGTAGACGCAAAGGCTAGCTGCCCTTGTCTCTACACACTATTTGGACGCATTCGAACAGGGAGTAGAGATAAAGACAGCTAGCTTTGCGTCTAGCAACTAATCATTCCAACTAGAGCTCTGTATTTCGACGTCCTCTCGTCTCCTCCGCTCCCTCAGTTTCTACCTTATAGATAGAGCCCTGCATATCTACAAATTACCCCCGAATATCCACAGTAAACTGGTGGATACAGATAAAAATTAATTAGATTTGGCGGATTGCAGATTGGATGCGGATATCCGCGGGTCTGGATCTTACATTTTTAGCGAGGCACCCCATTAACGTGTACGACCGCACAGTGCAGAGTGAATAAGTGAGTGATACTATGAAATGCATCATCAAATGTGTTGCGAGAGCGAACTACTCGCTTAGATAAAAGGTGCCATTCGGGGAGAAAATTGCTCTTTGCATCAAGAAAGATTTGATCCTAACCAAAGATTGCTTTAGAACGTTCTACCTCGCCAAAAATACTGTGCATAAAAAAGGTAAAGAATGCAAGAGCATCAGTCATCCCCGGAAAACGTGTTCTTGTTTGGCAAAGAAAGAGCAGAAAATGTTCTTTGGGCGAAGAAAACCCAAAACGTACAAGCCACAAGAAAGCAGAAGAAGCCTGCAAATGGCTTTTTCGCATACAAGTAGGTCAAGGAGGCTGAATTCGATCCTCTGGAGTGGTGGAACTTGCGCCAGCACGATTTTCCACACCTCATTCTTGTAGCTCAGTTCGTGCATGCCATCTCAGCATAAAGGGCATCAACGGTGTTATTAGTTTGTCATTGGTTAATTTTCATGTCTATAAAATAGGTGTCTGCTTAAAGTAAGCGTTACAGATAAAAAAAAAAAAAACATTATTTCCTTTTGAGCGCACTCTCTAGGCTGCGTCAGTGTCACGGGCTCCCAAGGCAATATCATAATTGCAATCATCTTTCCAGCGATGCGAAGTGTCTTTTAAAGAGCGATCGCTTATTTTATAAATACAATAAAATTACTTTCACCGTATCCTGACACGAAGAGTTTGTTGTACAAAGGTAAGCAGACGGCTTATAAGATACCATCCAGATGCTTTTTTTTTTTTTTTTTTTAATTTTTATTCATTCTTGATTTGATAACGTAAAATGAATGCGTGGATTGAGGGTGGGATGCAGTTTCGAATTTCACGGATGCGGTTCGAATGCGGACACAAAGTCCGCGGATGCGGATCGGATACAACTGTTTAAGAACATTGCTGATGCGGTTCGGATACAAAGTCTGCGGATGCGAATTGGACGATCAAACTGTTATCGGCGCAGGGCTCTACTTATAGACCTGAAAATATGGCCAGTGTGCCTCATCGAAAGAAGACTTTCATTTGTCTACAAAAGTAACCATACAATTTATGCAAATGAAAATAGCTCGAAAGCATTTGCGCCGAAATAAAACATTGCGTATGCACACAAAACATGCGTCGCATCCGTAGTGGGCTGTGTCAACTTGTCTTATGGGTGTTTGCCGTGCCATTCAAAACGAAGCACTTCTGGGGGTTTTCCGGCTTGCAAAAGATTGGGAAAGATTACGATGCCTCACCTGCAGCCGCTGTGTGCCTCAAGAGAACAGGACGTAAAGCTAGACTGGCTTGGAGCAGCCGCGCATATTGTGCTTACTATCTGTGGTGCAATCTTGAGTCACAGTTGTAGAGGGTGGCCTTTCTACACAGGCGGCACTATTTTCGTCTTCATGACATTGTGCATTTTAATGTTTCCGTGTCCATCTTTTAATCCATTCCATAATACCATATTTTCTAATGTACACATCACTTTTTTTTTTTCAAAATTTTTGTTGGGGCATTTCATACAATGGTGCAACTTGTATGCAATTTTTTCTACAGAAATTTGAGACAGGGTTATATTTCTTGTTCCGTTCCTTGACGAGGATATTGAAACTTGTTCCCGCTTGCGCGTATATTGCAATCATGACACACATATATGCGGGGTTTTCAATGCAGTTTTCGCCGTGCCGACTGTACAAATACGTAGATGCGACTTATGTACCATCTTTTTTCTGAAAACAACCATTCATTGCGGGGTGCGACTTATAGACCAGAATATACCAGGACGCACATATTTCGGGAGGGCAGACACTGGCTGAAGTGGTAGCGTAAAGGCGCGTTCACACTCTTGCAACCGAGTACGACCGAGAAAGACTTCTTGGGACCGGATGCACTGAGCGGAGCTGGTCCTAAGAGATCGCAAGAGGCTTAAAAACCGGTTTGGTCTCTCTCGGTCGCACTCGGTTGCAAGAGTGTGAACGGGCCTTAAGAGTACTGACACTTCCACGTAGCACTTTTGATGACCAGTGCTGCTGGAGCTGGGTGGGCAGAGGGATCCCCAGACATCTCAAATCCCCCTCCCCCTCTGCCGCCGTCCCCCGTCTCTTAAACACTTACGACGCTCTTTTCCATGACAGTTTGCTTGTGCTTAGGATGATGTATCTTAAACAGAGCCGTCCTTGATCAAATATGGCGTAAAACTCTGGAACTCTTGGAAGGGCACCACAAAAGTTTGAGCTGCCATGATTCATGCTTTTTTTTTTCTTTCTGCACATTTGTTTACGAAATTGCTCGCTTTAGTAATACGCCCGATAAAAGCTCCTGGATGCTATCAGCGCGGGAAAGGGTGACAATGTAACCTAGCTTTCGTGGCAAGGAACCGAGGTTCATCGGGCACCTCTCGGTGACTCGATCTTGCTAGCTTAGAGGTCAGCAGATTGATTTACCCGAGTGTAAAGGAACCGCCACCTTAGCAACGGTGATCACCTTGTGCTCGCTTTCGGTCTCCAAGGAGGAATATATAAAACAACAAAAGGCAATCTCGGAACTGGTTTGACGCACGGAGAAATACGACCCCAGGCGAAAATTTCCAACTGGGACCAGTTGGCACCTCAACTGGTTTCAACTGGGACCAACTGGTCCCAACTGGGAATCAACTGGGACCAACTGGTCCCCACTGGGAATCAACTGGGACCAATAGGAGTCCAACTGGGGCCAGCCGAGGGGTCAACTGGTTTGAACCATTCCCAGTTGGGAGTCAACTGGTTTGAACCATTCCCAGTTGGGAGTCAACTGGTTTGACTCCCAGTTGGGAATGAAGTGAACTGGGACCAGTTAGGAAAGTAACAATCGGAGCGATTCCCAGTCGGACTTCAAATGCCTTTCCCGTTCCCAGTTCACACGGGGCAACAATTTTGACAAGTTGGGGGTGCATTGGCCTTTGCTAATGAAGAAAACTAAAAGCACTAACATTTTTAGATTTATACAAATAGAGAATTTTAATTACTGGGGTACATTTATATATTTATAAAAATAATATAAAAATTTTAATGAACTAAATAATTTTTTAATTGGAAAATATAATTAGTGACAAAATGTGTTCACCTAAATGAACATTTAGTGCATTATTAAAATATATTAAAACATTTATTTAAATACCTACAGTATTTTTTTTTCTTTTAATAAATAAATTTATCTTTTGACTAATCAGAGCTAGCCGGCCGCCGTAGTACACCATAGCCGTGGCACGCGGGTGCGGATTAGTGGTACGCGCTGTCGACAGATGGCGCTGCCTATGCTGACGCCGGAGTCGGACGGACGCGGTAGAGAAGGGTCGCCATCGCCCAAGTTGGCGTCGTTATGAAAATGTCAAAACTACAGCTGCGCTTCTTTGGACCTAACTGTACACACACCAAGGTGGCGGCGGTGAACTTCGAGGATGGAAAGATGCAGTTCAGCGATCGGAGGGCACCCAGGAAAGACCGGACGGAAGAGAACCCGCCGCGGAGAGCACAATGGCGAAAATGGCGGGAGGTCTACCTCAAAAATGTTCGACTCTTGTGACAGAGATTGCAAGGTGGGAGCGCTACCGCATCTTATCAGGACTTCACCTGCGCAACGCAGGATCACGGGTGAGCACCTTTCTTCACGCGATGGGAAGAGAAGCCGAGGACGTCTTCACTAACAGACGCCAGCGGCCGATCTTCCTTCATCTCATGAATACCACCTCTGAAAACGCGATTCAACCGTCGCAAGCAAGTGGCTAAACCCGGAGCGTGTACGTCACCGAACCTATTTAGTTTCATTCTCCAAGTTTTTGACAATAAAGTATTGTCAACCTTCCATTTTGTGCCGTGTTTCATTGTTGCTGGAGTCGGTACCAACTCCAACTGGGACCAGTTGTAACTGGGACCAATTCCAGCTGGGACCAACTCCAACTGGGAATTGTTCCATAAACCAGCTGCAACTGGGACCAACTGGTCCCAGTTGGACGACTCCAACTGGGACCAGTTGCAACTGGGAATTGTTCCATAAACCAGTTGCAACTGGGACCAACTGGTCCCAGTTGAAAATTTTCGCCTGGGACGGATGAAGTTTTTTGTTGTTGTTCAATTTCAGAAAAGCTTCAGAGATTTTTGCGCACACAAAAATCACGCTACCGATCGGCCATACCGAGAATGAAGACGTTTTTAAAGACTCATTCACATGGTGCAACAACGAGACGGGGAGCTGAGAATTTGCAAGTGGGTAGTTTGTCGGGGAAATCAGTCACAGAACAACCAGTTGACAGGCAATGGACCGGCGTAAAATTTCGCTCGATAATTTTAAATGAACATTTAAATTCGTCCAGCGATTGTACTAACCGAAATTATAAAATGTCTAAAAGGATAAAGTCGGCAGCAAGGCCGATGCTCCTAGACTTTCGAGGAACAGGCAAACGCAACGGAACTTAGTGACTCATCATCGTAGGCGAAGCAATCCGGAACGAAATGGTACCCCACGAAATGTCAACAAAACGGTTGACGCAGACGCTCAAAGGAGCGAAAGAAACGTACCCGTGGACCCGAAGTGGTCGGTGTAGAAGCAGTAGAAGCGTTAAACCGGTTAAACTACTGACACCTCTGCGTCGCGTTTTCGATGACAGTTCCTTCGTGGAAGTACGTCGAATAAGCGCGACACGGAACTCGAACAAACGATCACGAACATCTTACGCACATAGGAACAGAAATAACTTCCATGCGAGTTCACCCCAGCAAGCCCGTCGACCGCCTAACCGGCCTGACACCTGTCAGGGAAGTGACCAATCAGGCTGAATCAGGCAACTTTAGATGCATGGCTAGATGTACGCCTGCACCTCAGAGCCGTATATGTACTGTGCTGCACCTCTGCTGCACCTCGGTGGATACAAAAGTAAATTAATTTTGACCTGTCTTCTTAAATAGAGGGTCACTTGCGCCATCTACCCCGTTTGTTTCGAGACTAGAGATGCCGCGAACCCCCGCGAGGTTCGAATTCTAAACTTTCAAAAGGTTCGAAATTTTCAAATTTATTAAAAAATTAAGTTCGAATTTTATTGCAGTACAGGGCCTAAAAATTAGAGAAAGGTCAAAATCTTTGAATCTCATAGCGAGTTCGTTTCACACGCACTGGAGTGCAGAAGACTGATGCTGCCGCCATCTATGTTGTAGAAAAGGTACCGACTTCAAACCGAAACTAGTGTCTTTCTGTTTGGAGCGATACGTGGGAATGCGAGAGTGCTGTCGCTACCAACGTTTATCTACAAACGTTGGTCGCTGCAAGCAGCTCGGCTGTCTACAAAGCAGCTGGTTGCGATCTTTCAATTCTTATAACCGTTTACACTGAAGAAAACTGATGATGCTGTCCAACAGAAGCTTGATCCGTTTGAGCATGGTATTATGCTTGAACCACTGAAAGGGTACGGCTTAAAACTAGCCTGTTGGAATATACGGCAAAACTGGGACTTTCGATTTGGATCGTCATTATAGGTGGATCAGATATTAGCCTTGGTGAGGGCGTCGAGAACGAGAGCTTTCTCGAACAAAATACGACGGGGCAAGTTAGCTGACGTAGGTAAACGTGAAACATGATGATATTGCCTAAGCCTCGGGTAAAGTCACTATGTTTAGCTTTCTCTGATGCTTATTGGGCAGTCAGAGGTTTCTGCAGGGGGAGTTTTGTCGACAAATGTTAAATTTTTCATCCGCAAACGGATGGTGATAGATATCTTGGGGGCCGCTCTTACGTTTGTTCTGAGCATTCCTTTACACACTGGTATATTTCAGCGTTTGTACGGCAACAGAGCGATTTAAAACCTGCAAATAAATCACGGGTTGTCAATTGCTTCCTTCGGGAAATAGCAGACGCTCACAATTCAAGCTCGCGTTTGATTTGGTTGCCCGCGGGACGCGATTTCTATCAGAAAATCTGCTTTTTTTTCGTTCGGTTCCGCGACACATCGTAGCAGACGAACCCCCGTCGTCTGCTCCCGCTCCTGGCCGGCCCCGCCGGAGCGAGGCATGACGGGATTGCATTTTGGCGCACTCCCGATTTTCTCGGTGCAGCGAGTGCATGCACGCGTGGGGTGTCAGCGCTGAAACGAACTCGGAAAGTGCAACCACTCGTGGAGTGCCGGCCGAAACGAACCCGTTCCACGCTGCGAGTGGGCACGCGTGGGCACGAGTGCCGTGAAACGAACTCGCTATCAGACGGATAACCCCATCCTGCTGTTTCAAGTAAAGTTTCCACTGATTAATCTAAAAAAAAAAAAAAAAAAAAAAAAATTGCGAAATGCGCGACATATTTTACTGAAAACGTTGCACATTTCTTTTATGCCCTGAACTTACGCCTAAACCTAAATAACGGTCAGCGTCTACTTGTGCTGACCGTTATTGATCAAAACGAGCGTTGAGCTTGTTGAACAGTTGAACTATGGTGCCTGGAACGCGCCTACGTAGTTGAACGGTTAATCGAAACTCTGAGGTGGTCCGATGAACGTATTTCCTACCTCTTTGCAAGCTAGTATCAATCCGATCAAAGTGCGATACTGGCATGAAATAAAAAAAAAAAAAAAAAAAAAAAAAAAGACTCATGCACTTTTTATTAATCTGTCTCACTTGCAGAACTCCGCGTCAAACGTGCCTCGCCACGTCGAACGAGCAGTCGTCAGTCACCCCAATCGTGACTGACAATGACATTTAGTCTAAACATCACGGCAAAATAATTAGTTTTCTTGACTTTTCTGTTGGAAGCCCAGAAACACTAGTCTAGACTAGTCTTTTTGGCCTGCCGCCATAACATAGACCACATCTAGGCAAAGAAATAAGAGCGAAGAATTTTGTTTCCGTACCCATTTATAGGAGCCCCGAGGAGGTTTCTGAGACCGCCTAAATATGGCCACAACTTACTCTGCAGGCTCTAAGCATCCTAAAAATTCGTAAATCATAAAGATGTGAGACCGATTTTCCTATTAAAAAATCAATCAAAGATCGAAATTGCTTCCAGCGATGGAAAATAAAAATTGGTGTGTATGTTTATACACCCTAAAGTTAGTCTGCCTCAACGTGCGACTTGTCTCAGCTGCGGCACAACCGCAGTAGTGATACACGATCGCACGCCGATATGCGATGCTCGTCCAGGTCGAAACGGGCAGAGGTGGCGATGGAACCCAGGATCCCTGGGTTCTGCAGCGCAAGCTTTCGCTCCGCGTGCTCCGAGCTGGTGTGCGCTAGCCGATTCAGCCGCCGATTCTATTATTTTCTTTCTTTTTTTTTTTTTTAGGGGCGAAGCTTTTTAGGGGCCAGCCATGTCCGTATGTACGTCCGATGTCCGGCGTCGGGTGCTCGTGCTCGTGGAAGACAAAAAACAACAACAACAACAACAACAACCGCATCTCCACGTGATGAATGATGTTGATGGGGGCGAAGGTGCTTGTTTGCGTAGACGGTGAGCCGCAGCATGCCGAGCCTTTCGTTCGTTTTCATCCATATCAGAAAGAGAATGTGTGGTATGGAACGTAATTATATACGCATTTGAGCATTTGAACGCAGCGTGACATGGATGAAAACGAACGAAAGGCTCGGCATGCTGCGGCTCAGCGTCTACGCAGACAAGCACCACCAGAGCCTCGCCCCAATCAACATCATTCACCACGTGGAGACGCGTTTTTAAAGCGCAGCTCTTAGGCGCCCGTTTCCGGCTTGAGCGGCGTCGCCGTCGGCGTAACCAAGGTCACCCCAAGGTCACGTGACCCTCCCCGAGGTAACGTGACTCCCCCCGAGGTCACGTGACCCCTTATCCGAGGCCACGTGACCCCCGATGTCACGTGACTCACCTGAGGTCACGTGACCCCCCGATGACGTCATCGTCACTGATGACGTCACCGGCATCCGCATCGTCATCATCACTGATGACGTCACCGTTATCGTCATCGTCATCATCACTGATGACGTCACCGACATCCGCATCGTCATCGTCATCACTGATGTCGTCACCGGCATCCGCATCGTCATCGTCATCATCACTGATGACGTCACCGACATCCGCATCGTCACCGTCACTATCACTGGTGACGTCATCAGTGATGTCACTAATGACATAATCGGTATCCGCATCGTCATCATCACTGATGACGTCATCAGTGACGTCACTGATGACATCATCGGCATTGTCCCCAGGTCACGTGACCCCCCCCCCTCCGGTCAGTTGACCCCCCCCCCCCCCCCAGTACCCTTCCCTTCTCCTCCTCAAGAGCTGCGCTCTAATTCGGCGTTACAGGAAGTTGTAAACGGCTTTCACTTTTTTTTTGTATATAGAAGTTGGATTCAGCCATACCGGGAAAGTCAAAGACAAGAGCGCGTTATCCTTTGAGAGAGCTTAATTCTACCGATACCGAATTTGGGCAATGTACTTCGAAGTCTGGAGTTGCACCTTTCTCAAAAAGTACAAAAAAAAAAAGATACTTTAAGATAAAGTACAAGTACATACTTAAAGAACGTACTTCAAGAGAAGTACGAGTTCTCTTGCCGTACTTAAGGTAGTACTGTAAGTACAAAGTACTTGAACTACTTCTCAACCACCGCGGGTTTTTCCCTCTCTTAAGCTGCAGTCTCACCGCTAAGACACCATACAAAAGGCAGTCTGCAGAACCTATCGAAAGCATGTTTATTTCTTGTTGTCACATTGATTGTACAAGAACTGTCCGCAGAAATTTCCAAACGTACATTACATGTGCGAAGCAAGCATTCTTCCAACGTGTTTGAGGCGTGCCCGCAGATATTAGGCCTCTTTCAAGAAATGCGCGCCACCTGGTAGCTGCTGCGACAATTACCCGGGCACATCCTCTGATTGGACACGAGCGCTACGTCAGCGTTCGGCGAAGGTTCGGATCCAATCACGCAGGTCGTGCCCCAGAAAATGGCGACCGCCAATGTTGCTCGAGGAAGTTTTTTCTTCAACAATGGTTACTTGCAGTTTAAAACACGACGGAAGAAATGGGGAAATAAAGACAGCATAATCACTGCGACCCAGGAACGGATCGGTTATAGACTACCGTCTACAAATGTGTAAAAAAAAAAAAAACGAAAAAAACAATTTGAGTTTTTAATCCAAAAAATATATAGCACACTTCAGAGGGGAGGGAGGGGGGGGGGGGGGGGGGGCTTTCTATTACTGTTTTTTCAAATATTTGTGGTCGGGCAGGATAGGATTTTGTTCGGTGATAAAAGCTCTGGGAGATGAGGTTTTGCTCTCTCTTTTTATCTTCTCCTTGTTTCTGCATTCTCCCATTGAGGTGCAGAGCCAGGATCTGATGTGCATTGAACTTCCTCACCCTTTCTTTTCCCGAGCATTTCCTTCTCATTGGATTCCTCCATTTCGGGTAGTTCTTCCTTCAACTTCGCTGGATCTTCAACTTGGTAGATTGGTAGAGGTGTGTTGAATGCGATGGTAATGGCGTCCATGTTCACAGTCTTCTCTTTTGCAGAGCCTGACGGTGTTGGATTATTTGCGCCCTTTTCATTACCTGTGCTGTTTCGATATTCGTTACCTTGGGTCTGTTGTTGGCCTCAGCAGACACATCTGATTGTGCTGCTTCTTCTGAGTCCATGACGTCCTCGGTAGGATTCTCATGAGAGGCATTTGTAGGGTTGGCGTAGGTTGTTGGAATGCAATCTTGCGGTTCGTGCCCGTATGTTCTGCATGCGCTGCACCATGGAGCGCGGAACTGACCTCGAACGTGTCTTATTTGCTTGCATCGCAGGCACTGT